AGCGCATGAACCTAACCATCTGTATCAGCCATGGTTACAAACCATTGACCTTTCAGTCAAAACAAAGATGTTGTTTTTATAATATTGTTTGTTTTATTTCATAAAAGATGCATTCGAATTAAGCTGAATGTTCACCGCCGTAGAAAGATCATCTGCAAAGAATCGAACAAAATATGTGATACAATTCTTGAACTTGTACTTATAACCAATGATGAAGAATACACTGTCTTTGTAACTATTTGGCAAAGGCCCTGTCGTCTAAGGCGCATAATTAGCTGTGCACACCTGAGTCTCGTGCACTGGCAATCCATGAGCCATGAATAATTAAACAGACGTCCCTGTGACATTTGCTATTAAGAGCTACTGAAAATCAGGAAAATCTTGACTTGAAAGGGATGAAACATTATATCATGGATTCAATGATAGAGGCAATAGAATTGTTTCTAAGACTGTGAGACGGACTGATAAACGGCATCACTCAAGTGTAGGCAAATGAAAAACTAATGTGGCATGGGTATGGTAGAAAATTACCAGTTGAGCATTGGCAGCTGAAAGGACTCCTTTATATTTTCATTTCCACGGGGAGGACATCCTGCCTTGAGCTGCGCCTCCTAATGCGCCAAATATACCTTGAAACATGTGTCCCACTTCGGACGCTGTGGACGCTCCAGGCGTACCGCCTCCCATTCCGGATGCCCCAGACATCCCGCCTCTCATTCCAAATAGCCCAGACAGAATGCCTCCCAGTTCGGGCATTCCAGACATCCCCTCTCCCTTTCCGGATGTCCCAAACATCCCCTCTCTCTTTCCGGATATCCCAGACGTCCCCTCTCCCTTTCCGGATGTCCCAAACATCCACTCTCTCTTTCCGGGTGTCCCAGACGTCCCCTCTCCCTTTCCGGATGTCCCAAACATCCACTCTCTCTTTCCGGATATTCCAGACGTCCCCTCTCCCTTTCCGGATGTCCCAGACGTCCCCTCTCCCTTTCCGGATATTCCATACGTCCCCTCTCCCTTTCCGGATATGCCAGACGTCTGCTCTCCCTTTCCGGATGTCCCAGTCGTCTCCTCTCCCTTTCCGGATATCCCAGACGTCTGCTCTCCCTTTCCGGATATCCCAGACGTCTGCTCTCCCTTTCCGGATAACCCGGACATTTTGTCTCCCGATCCTGAGATATCGGACATTTTGTCTCCCGATCCTGAGATATCGGACATTCTGTCTCCCGATCCTGAGATATCGGACATTCCTTCTCTCGATTCGGACATCACAACGCTTCCCTTTCCGGACATTCCAGACATACCGCCCAACATTCCCCGTAATCCACTCTTTAAGACATATTTTTCAATTACATCGGCTCCCGTTTTGTTTTTGATTGTTTCCATTTCAGACAGTGTGCTTGTGGTAAGACCGATTCCTTCTGAAAAATGGGAATATTGTGTTACTTCTACGGGTGTTTAATCTTCATTTTCCAATGTTTCGACAAACTTTCTAAACTTTTACCAACATTGGTACTGCATTATATTGTAACCGTCATAAAGGTCAAAAAGATTATCTCGAATCACACAAATTGTTTAGGTCTGCGTTTTATGAGGGGTACAGCTATCCGATACGTCAGTATTTGTTTAGTTGCTTTAAGCAATATTCCAGCAATATCACGCCCAGGGATACCATAAATGTGCTTCACGCATTGTATCCATGTAGGGAATCGAACGCGGGCTTTCGGCGTGACAAGTGAACGCTTTAACCACTGGGCTACCCCACCGCCCTTATCTTTCCACTGAGTTTCGTCCTTCCAGGATCGGTTGGTTCAGATCCAATTCACCTCAGTCAAATCATTAGTTCACCAGCAGCATACCAGTCTTCCTGGTCGTGAGGCGGTGGGGTAGCCTAGTGTTTAAAGTGTTTGCTCGTCATGGTGAAGACCCGGGTTCGATTCCCCACATGGGTAGAATGTGTGAAGCGCATTTCTTGTGTTCCCCGCCGTGAATATTGCTAAAGCGGCGTAAAACTAAACTCGCTCACACTGTCTAGAAGTACTATACCGCAGTTGTAAACAACCAGCAGTAAACGCTGTAAACAGTATTCAAACCATATCTCGCCGGCCAGGAAATAATCGACTCTGGGACAGACAAAACAGTGACTGATCTTGGATCATGACTCACGATAACACATATTTTCAGCCTCCGACACGTGGTAACGACAAGTGAGATATTTGTTTTGTTAAGGAATCAAGAATCAGATTTCCCTACGTTTCTACTTACCATCATAAGTGTGTAGATAACTACCCTTCGTCATGATAATGATTTTATAATTGTAGACAATTATCCTTCTTTCAATCGATTTTGATGAGTGATTATTTTCATTCTTTTATGGAAATAATATATAATTATAGATAAGTATCCTTTCAATAAGTCATGAAAACGTACGACTTTGCAACATCGCAATAGCTCTCTGGTACTCGGGACTGTCTTCTAATATTTGCAATCCGTCAGGCCTTGTCATGATGATCTCTGAAGCGAAACACAGATACAAGCCCAGTCTTAATTACTATTGTAAGAAGGTTAATAGGTTAACAAATAATCAAAATACACACAAATGTATGTAAATTGCCAGTTTGATACTGATATCGATATTTATTATGTATACACTTACATTTAGTCTTGAGTTTGTGTGTCTGTGTGTGTGTGTGTGTGTTTGTTTGTTTGTTTGTTCAACGCTGCACTCAGCAATATTCTTGTTATATGGCGGCAGACTGTACACACTCGAGATCACAGACAATCCAGTGATCGACATTATGAGCATACATGTAGATCTACGCAATTGGGATACGATGACATGTACCAACCAAGTCAACGAGCTTGAGCACCCGAACCCGTTAGTCGCCTCTTTCGACAAGCATAGGATGCTGAAGACCAAAATCTCAGCCGGATCTTCATGCCGCAGTTAAATACTGCCTGTGATATCTAAAAACGAACGTTAAATAATAGATTTCTGGAAGGAAGGCTCCAGGTTAAAAGAGCCCAGTGTCCGTGGTCAACATTCTGGAAAATAATAAACATGCGTCGAACACTGGCGAAGCAGCAGACGGATAATTGGCACATTATGTGGGTTTGGGAGGTTATTGTACCGCTGGAACTACGGTATGTCACACCGGTGGCGTCGATATTTTACAGTTTCTGTCATCATGATAAACAGCATGGATCTTAGACCAACGTGTTATTGCATGAAACAAGAGTCACTATCACTTCACGATGCCACGTGTCACGTCAGTTCACGATCACACCTGTTTCTGCAAGACACTTCACGATACAGCGTGTCATGGCTTTACGATGCTAATATGTCGATGTCACGATCAACTTCACGATGCAACCTGTTACTGCACGTCACTTCACGATGCAACCTGTTACTGCACGTCACTTCACGATGCAACCTGTTACTGCACGTCACTTCACGATGCAACCTGTTTCTGCACACGTCACTTCACTCGTTTCACGATGCAACCTGTTACTGCACGTCACTTCACGATGCAACCTGTTACTGCACGTCACTTCACGATGCAACCTGTTACTGCACGTCACTTCACGATGCAACCTGTTACTGCACGTCACTTCACGATGCAACCTGTTACTGCACGTCACTTCATGATAACACCCGTTACTGCACATCACGATACAGTACCATGTACTGTAAGATAATTCAAATTACTGTTTGTCTCAATATGATCAACTGGATCTTTGAACAACGTGTTATTGCATCAAACATCTCATGTCACCGCATGCTTCACGATACAACCAACTGTCTCTGTATGACAATTACGTGTCACTGTCACTGACACTTCACGATACAACGTGTCACTGCAAAGACACTTCACGATACAACGTGTCACGATACAACGTGTCTCTGCATGACATTTCACGATACAACGTGTCACTTCATGACACACTTCACGATACAACGTGTCACTTCTGCATGACACTTCATGATACAACATGACACTTCACACTGTCACAACGTGTCACTTCATGACACTTCACGATACAACGTGTCTCTGTTCATGACATTTCACGATACAAAGTGTCATACAACGTGTCACTGTGTGACACTTCACGATACAACGTGTCACTTTCACGATACAATGTCACTGCATGACACTTCATGATACAACGTGTCACTGCAAGACAACGATTCACAATACAACGTGTGTCGACACTTCACGATACAACGTGTCACTTCATGATCAACGTGTCTCTGCACGACTTCATGATACAACGTGTCTACATGACATTCACGATACACTGCATGACACTTCACGATACAACGTCACTGCATGACACTTCACGATACAACGTGTTCACTGCATGACACTTCACGATACAACGTGTCACTGCATGACACTTTCACGATACAACGTGTCACTTCATGACACACGATACAACGTGTCACTGCATGACACGATATGACACTTCAATACAACGTGTCACTTCATGACACTTCACGATACAACGTGTCACTGCATGACACTTCATGATACAATGTGTCACTTCATGACACTTCACGATACAACGTGTCACTACATGACACTTCACGATACAATGTGTCACTACATGACATTTCACGATACAACGTGTCACTTCATGACTACAACGTGTCACACGATACAATGTGTCTCTGTATGACATTTCATGATACAACGTGTCACTACATGACGCTTCATGATACAACGTGTCACTGCATGGCACTTCATGATACAACGTGTTACTGCAAGACACTTCACGATACAACGTGTCACTACATGACATTTCACGATACAACGTGTATCTGTATGACACTTCACGGTACAACGTGTCACTGCAAGACACTTCACAATACAACGTGTCTCTGTATGACACTTCAAATACAACGTGACTCTGCATGACACTTCACGATACAACGTGTCACCGCAAGACACTTCACGATTAAAAAGGGCAACTGCAACTCACTTCTCAATGTAATTACCTGTGTTTGTCTCGTTTCCGCCAATTTCTTGGAGTTTCTCCATGTCTTGTTGAAGCTCAGACACTGGAATGTAAACGTCAATGATACAGTAAGCTTGCTTTGATCAGTACTGTAGTTTCTTGTCTCTTACGTCTTGAATACTTGAATACTTGAATGTGTTAAGCCCATTTCTGGTGTCCCCAGCCGTGATATTGCTGGAATATTGCTAAAAGCGGCGTAAAACTAAACTCAGTCAGTCAGTCAGTGAATACTTAATATCGGAGGAATGGGGTGTTACCGATTATATCACCCTTGCATGTACGAGTAGGTTGTTTAGCATACCGAGTGATATATTTGTCATAACATGAGGATTCAAGAAGACATCCCCAGAATTAAGAACTAAGACAACCTTAGAACTGAAATGGATTTGTGAAGACATATCCAACTCAATCAATCTTCATGTCATATAAAACGAAAGTGTCCATAAGAAAAAGGTTTGAGGCACATTTCAGTAACTTAATCAGGATTGTTTGATGACGTCAGGGATGCTTTGATGAAATTATTGTTTCAGTCAGGGATGCTAAACATGCTCGTTGTCTTTCCCAACGAGAACGTCAAGATATGTAAATTATTGTTTCAGTGTCCACCTGCTTCGTATATCTCCGTCAGCTCTTGGGACATGCTGCGTTGTCTCTTGCCCAGCTCATCGATGAGTCCTGCATCAAGAAACATGACACTGCTAAAGGACACTGCCAATCTGCATCAAGAAACATGACACTGCTAATTTACATGAAAAACATCCCTCCATGACACTGTAACCATATAGAGGGCCTCAAGAAACATGATCGTCATATGAGCGAAATATTCTCAAGCACGACGTTAAACCAACCTCAAGAAACATGACACTGCTAATGGACACTGCCAATTTACAATAACATACATTCACACCATGACACTCTAACAATATAGGGAGCATCAAGAACATGACACTGCTAAAGGACACTGCCAATTTACAATAACATACATTCACACCATGACACTCTAACAATATAGGGAGCATCAAGAAACATGACACTGCTAAAGGACACTGCCAATTTACAATAACATACATTCACACCAATTTACAATAACGTACATTCACACCATGGCACTGTAACAATATAGGGGACACTTACAACCATGTGTGACATCTGTCGGACAGTCCAGGACAAATGTTAATGTTTGCTGCACAAAACACCTTGAAATTACAGTTCAACTTACGGCCTATCGTACCATGTCCGTTATCCTCAGAGCAGCAGTGTTTATACAGTTCGAACTGAATATAATTAAGCCTTTGTCTACAGCTAGACATTCCAAAAACTTTGTCATTGATCTTGTTCAACGCCATTACGGCAACAGCAGGAATCGGGACCAGTACCAACACAGAAGGGACATCGTCTTTTGGGTTATCGATGTGATTAGTGATAGTATTGACCAGTGGGTTTATACGTACCAGACTTTCCAGATCCCAGTCCGTGCACACAGCCATACAAGAGGATTGAAACACTCAGCCGGAACACGGTGACCTGAAGGAGATCTGTTCATGTTAGTGTACAATAGCGTAAGAGAGTGAGTGAGTGAGTGAGTGAGTGAGCGACACCAGAAATGGGCTTCACACATGTATGTACCTTAATAGCCGACTAACCCGTGGATTGGATGGATACAAGTTGTGACGTTTATCGTCCTGTATACTATCAACCACTGATTTATCCCGATCGGAATCCTTCAAAGCCGCTAGGTGTAGCTGCAGTATTGCCTCGTAAGGCATTGATTTTATACTTGATACTAATGACCTGCCCTAAATTTATCCCCGCCCCTGAATTGTGTTTTTAAGCATCATCAATGCTCGACTTTTTCACATTTAATTTTGTTACTGCTACATATTCAAACAAATACAAAAGAGGTCAAATACCTTCAAAATATGTAAGGTACTTAAAAATACAAATGTATATAATTGTTTCCTGGCCCTCCAATAGGTCATTGTTGGAAAATGTCACATCACTCTAAAAGGCCTATGTTCTTGTGCATAGAGCGCAGGTCACAAATAAGTTGAAGTTAAGCATCGTTGGGAGCGGAGAGTTCTTGGATAAGTGGCCGTGTCTAGACTTCAGTCCTGCCCCACAAGGAAGCACGTGAGACAAGTTAGGCAAGAGAGTTTGTTATAAAATATGGCCCCTGTTCACCCAACAAAAAATGGGTACTGTGATAAGCCCTGTCACCATTAACCCTCTAGCGCCTCACAGGCAGCTAGGGTTATCAAATTGTTTGGGGCTTCGAGCATACATTGTGCATAGATAAATGCGCATGATATATGGACTATTATTATTATTACCTACGGTGAGATTATTCAAATAACCTAGATGATTCACTGTCTGAGTGACGATACACATTACTTGTGTCAAGATGAAAGTGTCTTCCAGATAGTTGAAGAATCATCTACGTCGATGAATTTTGGATCTTATACGCTTCTAGGGGAACAAGGACATCTATTGAAGTCTGATTTTGACATCTGTCACTGTCCAGCTAACTTAAGGACCACGTGCTTTTGAAAGAAGATATGAGAGCATGTGAGTGAGTGAATGAGTGAGTGGGTTTGGTTTTACGCCACTTTAGCAATATTCCAGCAATATCACGGCGGGGGACACCAGAAATGAGAGTATGTTGTAAGCGCATGTTGCAGATGACGGAAAACGACGGAGAGAGGTTTTGATGAGACTTACCTTCAACATGCTGGCTTGTTCACTGTGACAGGCTCTCATGCATGAAGCGAAATATGCCATGCAATCGTGTGTGTTGTTTATGTATAGCGACCGCCATTGAAGTAAAAGATGAAAGACATACTTCTCACCCATTTACAGTTACTGATGTCTTTGATTACATGTCCAATGTTTTCAAATACAACTAAATCAAACATATATTCCTAGATCCCCCATCTGATATACCGAAAAGAATGATCCATTTGATCAGAAAGTCGCCACCTTGAAACACGTATGTATTTTTACACGAACACGAACTGACAAAAAAATACCTGCTGTTTGTCAGTTCCAAATCAAATCAAAGGAAAAAACTAAAATACCAGATATTATCCATGATTCAATATCTGCATTCCTTCTGAGTGGCCGGTGCTAACACTGCAGGGACATGCTAACCCTTCTCGCACCCACCTCGAGTGCCCAATAATTTCAAGTACAAAATTCTACACCATATCCTACCAACTAAAATCCGTTTACACAGAATGGGCAATACTTAATCAGATAGAAGCGACTAGGGGCGGTGGGGTAGCCTAATGGTTATAGCGTTGGCTCGTCACGCCGAAGACCCGGGTTCGAATCCCCACATGGGTACAATGTGTGAAGCCCATTTCTGGTGTCCCCCTGCCGTGATGTTGCTGGAATATTGCTAAAAGCGGCGTAAAACCATACTCAGTCAGTCAGTCAGCCGTTTACAAAGAATGGGCTATACTTAATCAGATAGAAGCGACTATTGTTCCTATAAAACAGATACATTGCAGCATTTATTTTGGGAATGTGATCTTGTACGGCCACTGTGGACCAAACTGGAAGGTTGGCTAAAAGAAAAAGCTCAAACAGAAATTCATTTTAAAGAAAGAATACTCATTGGTTTTCCAGAGAGAAACAATGACCCGCTAAACATAATCATCTTGATTTTCAAAAAGACTATATTTGACCACAAACAGAAACGATTGCCAACCTTCGAAACATTAATATGCAAAGTCCGGGATTATTATAATATTACTAAATGTGCAGTTGAAATGTCAACTAGAGAGTGATTCGTAACCACATACTCAGAAGATCCGGTTAGAATTGATCTTCAGCAACCCATGCTTGTCGCAAGAGGCGACTAACGGGATCGGGTGGTCAGGCTCGCTGACTTGGTTGACACATGTCATCGTATCCTAATTGCGTAGATCTATGCTTATGCTGTTGATCACTGGATTTCTTGTCCAGACTCGATTATTTACAGATCGCCGCCATATAGCTGGAGTATTGCTGAGTGCGGCGTTAAACAACAACCAACCAACTTTTACGCCCAACGTAATAATTGTGGGTGGATAATTAAGACTGAATATCCTATTGCGTTGACGTTTATTATTACGCCTAAAACTATTGATACATTACAGATATTACCAGGCATTCATGGTTTAATCATTGTCGTCGGTGTCTCAGATAAGCACCTGTCTGTAGGCTCAAAGCAGGTAGATCTCGTGTCGAGCAAGAAGTTTTAACTTTTCGTCTTACAGTAATTTTACTTGTCGATTTAACTGTCACAAAGCCTGCATGTGTTTAAGGGGGCTGAAGAACCTGCAGCTTCTCAGGTCTGAGGGTCCTGATGGCAGATTGTCAAGTAATTTCATTTCACCACTTATTGCTGGTGTGTCCATACATGAAAGTTATTTCAACACTTCTATTTTATTTTCATTCATGTGTGTAAGTACCGCAGCGAATACATACGAGGGGCGTTCAAAAAGTAGTCAGCCTCACCTAGAAAATGATACAAATGCAGCTGTTTTTATGTTTTATTTTTCTACATATTATCTGTCAACCTCAAGAAAATTGGCTTTGTTCTGTTCCACCCTCACCCCCCTCTTCATGTTTAATGAAAGAGCTTGTTTCGGAGATGATGTAATCATAAGGACCTATTCTAATGTTTTCACTTGTTCATACATACGGAAGCGCTGAAGGGACATGAGTAGGAGAATTTTCATACATGATGGCAAAGGTTCAAACTAAATACTGAATGGTCACACAAGTGTCAGTTCTCAATATATTGTAAACAATGCCAGCTTTAATATCTGGACACAATGTTTTTGAAAGATTTCAAAGTGGGTGTCCTTATAAAAACAGCCCTGACTAAATGCAAATCAAGCAATCCAAATCTTTGAATGTTGATCATGACGGGAAGTCATCCAACACTATACTGAACATATTGTATATGACATTATCTGAGGACATACCATTATCCAAGAGGTACCAAATGACAGATCGTTTTTCATTTTCTGCAAATTTTAAGAAATATTATACCCCCAATGTGTTGTGATGACTAATATCTCGTTAACCACATTACCTACTTATGTGAAATTTAGGATATGGCTTTGCTAATGATTCCTTCAAAATAAGATGGAAGCTTTCAAACATTGGACATCGAGAATGTAGCTAGACCGACTACCTTTTGAAGGCCCCTTGTAGTCACGCATGTTATATTTGAGATTACACTTTCTCAGTAAAGTACAGATTCTAGTACTTTTGTTGGGTTGAGTCCCATGCGGGATTCGAGCCCACACCCTCAGAGTCAGGCACCTAATCGCCAGCACACAAAGTCAGCCATCTAACCCACTCAGCCTCCCACTAACCATATGTAGACAAATGTGATGCTCGACCAACAACAGTTCACACAGTTTCCACATTCAACTGAACTGCTCAGGTAACTAAGTGACGGTTGTAATATACTTCGTCCATATTAGAACATAAATGTAAGACACCTTGATTATTTGCAAACAAATCTTTATTTTGAGAATGTTGTCATTAACATCTGAATTTTCACAATTTCATAATTTCCCAGACAGGTGGCGGGCCAGCGAGGATCACTGTCCTGTAAAACAACAAGTGTTGCATCATATCTAATTGTGAAAATGTGAAATGCATGTTTCTGGAATCAGATATACGACATGAAAAGAAAAACACAGCAAGACATACTTAACACCAAGATATACATCTTTAAAATACACATATAGAGCAATGAATCCAGACATATTTAACACCTAGGTATACATCTTTAAAATGTATAAATAGCAAAAAGTATTTCAGCTTTAAAAACATATATAGATATGGTGTAAAGATAACACAGATAATGAATGGACAATACAGGAGGAGAGACAGACGGTACAGGTGGATACACACTACAGATGGTGGATACACACTACAGATGGTGGATACACACTACAGATGGTGGATACACACTACAGATGGTGGATACACACTACAGATGGTGGATACACACTACAGATGGTGGATACACACTACAGATGGTGGATACACACTACAGATGGTGGATACACACTACGGAAGGTGGATACACACTACAGATGGTGGATACACACTACAGATGGAGGATACACACTACAGATGGTGGATACACACTACAGATGGTGGATACACACTGGATACAGATGGTGGATACACATTACAGATGGTGGATACACACAACAGATGGTGGATACACACTACAGATGGTGGATACACACACAGATGGATACACAGTACAGATGGTGGATACACACTACAGATGGTGGATACACATTACAGATGGTGGATACACATTACAGATGGTGGATACACATTACAGATGGTGGATACACACTACAGATGGAGGATACACACTGGATACACATACACACTACAGAAGGTGGATACACACTACAGATACAGATGGTGGATACACACTACAGATGGTGGATACACTACAGATGGTGGATACACACTACAGATGGAGGATACACACTACAGATGGTGGATACACACTACAGAAGGTGGATACACACTACAGATGGTGGATACACACTACAGATGGTGGATACACACTACAGATGGTGGATACACACTACAGAAGGTGGATACACATTACAGATGGTGGATACACACTACAGATGGTGGATACACACTACAGATGGTGGATACACACTACAGATGGTGGATACACACTACAGATGGTGGATACACACTACAGATGGTGGATACACACTACAGATGGAGGATACATGGTGAACGTGGATACACTACAGAACGTGGATACACACTACAGAAGGTGGATACACACTACAGAAGGTGGATACACACTACAGATGGTGGATACACACTACAGATGGTGGATACACACTACAGATGGTGGATACACACTACAGATGGTGGATACACACTACAGATGGTGGATACACACTACAGATGGTGGATACACACTACAGATGGTGGATACACACTTACAGATGGTGGATACACACTACAGATGGTGGATACACACTAGATGGTGGATACAGATGGTGGATGGTGATACATACACACTACAGAAGGTGGATACACACTACAGAAGGTGGATACACACTACAGATGGTGGATACACACTACAGATGGTGGATACACACTACAGATGGTGGATACACACTACAGATGGTGGATACACACTACAGATGGTGGATACACACTACAGATGGTGGATACACACTACAGATGGTGGATACACATTACAGATGGTGGATACACACTACAGATGGTGGATACACACTACAGATGGTGGATACACACTACAGATGGTGGATATACACATTACAGATGGTGGATACACACTACAGATGGTGGATACACACTACAGATGGTGGATACACACTAGAGATGGTGGATACACACTACAGAAGGTGGATACACACTACAGAAGGTGGATACACACTACAGATGGTGGATACACACTACAGATGGTGGATACACACTACAGATGGTGGATACACACTACAGATGGTGGATACACACTACAGATGGTGGATACACACTACAGAAGGTGATGGTGGATACACATTACAGATGGTGGATACACATTACAGATGGTGGATACACACTACAGATGGTGGATACACACTACAGATACATTACACACTACAGAAGGTGGATACACACTACAGAAGGTGGATACACACTACAGATGGTGGATACACACTACAGAGATGGTGGATATACACACTACAGATGGTGGATACACACTACAGAAGGTGGATACACACTACAGATGGTGGATACACACTACACACACTACAGATGGTGGATACACACTACAGAAGGTGGATACACACTACAGATGGTGGATACACACTACAGAAGGTGGATACACACTACAGATGGTGGATACACACTACAGAAGGTGGATACACACAGAACAGATGGTGGATACACACTACAGATGGTGGATACACACACAGACAGAAGGTGGATACACACTACAGAAGGTGGATACACACTACAGAAGGTGGATACACACTACAGATGGTGGATACACACTACAGATGGTGGATACATACACACACATACAGAAGGTGGATACACATTACAGATGTAGGATACACACTACAGAAGGTGGATACACACTACAGATGGTGGATACACACTATAGAAGGTGGATACACACTACAGATGGTGGATACACACTACAGATGGTGGATACACATTACAGATGGTGGATACACATTACAGATGGTGGATACACATTACAGATGGTGGATACACATTACAGATGGGGGATATACACACTACAGATGGTCTTTGCCCATTACAGATGTGGAAAAAAATTACACAATACGGAAATGAGAAAGGAAATTATATTTGTCTACTGAGAGTTAAGAACGAACCTTGTTTTATGCTCCCAGCTTACTCTATCCAAGAGTGATTCTAAACGTTCCTGAAAAAGTTAATAATATGTTCAAAACATTTTTCCTTCTAAGTGTGAAATCTCAAAATACATAAAGGTACGAACAGACATAGTTTTGATATGTGATAAAATTGTACATATTTCTGACAGAATTTTGAGGGTTCCAAGACGACTTGGGATACAGGAGACCTTGTCGTCTTAAGCATGTTAAGATCCGGGCTAGGATTGGTTTTCAACAACCCATGCTTGCTGTAAGAGGCGACTATCGGAATCGTGTTGTCACGTTTGCTGACTTGGTTGACACATGTCATCGTATCCCAAATGCTCGTGTTGTTGATCACTGGATTGTCTGGTCGAACTAGATCATTTACAGACCATTTAGCTGGATTATTGCAGCGTTAAGCAAAAAAGAAAAGAAAGAAAAACCAAACAAACCAATGACTGACATGACCAGAAAATCGGACGGCACAGTAGAAAACTACAAGCGCTACAAGCACCCATATGCACAACATCGTTCATTTAAAACATATGCCGAAAAAAGATGGCTTTTTCTCACGATCAGTGACACCCGAACCCAGGAAATAATGAAAGAAAAATACGAACGTGGTTGGGAGTAGGAATCATCGCCACCTGCAATATTGAAACATGAAGTAAGCACACACCAGTGTTAATCCCGGGGGGCGGTGGGGTAGTCCAATGGTTAAAGCGTTGGCTCGTCACGCCGAAGACCCGGGTTCGATTCCCCACATGGGCACAATGTGTGAAGCCCATTTCTGGTGTTCCCCGCCGTGATGTTGCTGGAATATTGCTAAAAGCGGCGTAAAACCGAACTCAGTCAGTCAGTCAATGTATGTGTGTAGTTTGGTTTTACGCCGCATTGGCAATGTGTTGATACGAATAAGTCGATATTACTAACAATATCACTGCGTTGGCACAACACCTGAAATGGGCTTCAAACATTGTAAACCAAACTCAGTCAGTCAGTCAATGTGAATCTTTTTAGCAATAATCCAGCAATATCACGGGGACAACAGCAAACATTGTGACGATCGCGAGCGAACGCTTTAACCACTGGGCTACCTCACCACCCCTCATATCAAGGAGTATGTCAACCTCAGCCAACACTTACCAGAGGGGTACACAAAGTCCGCAGTCTAGACTACCAGTTGTCCGACTTACATTTTTGTGGAAGCCGTGATGGCTGAGCGGGTTAGGCGGCTAACTTTGTGTGCTGGCGATTAGGTGCCTGACTCTGAGGGTGTGGGTTCGAGTCCCGGATGCAACTCAACCCAACAAAAGTACTAGAATCTGATATATAAGAAAGCGTAATTCCAAATATAACATATGTTACAGCCTCAGCCAAGTTTGATTAAGTTAAATCCAATTTTGATGTGTACACTAGCTTCTGTGCTGTAATTGTATATAAAAGTAGTTCAATTCATTTTAGCTTCCAGTCTGCATCTGCACCCTCTATTCATGAAGATCCTTGCGAGAACTGGTTCTCAGCAGCATAGGCTTGTCGTAAGCGGCGACTCACTTGACAGATTGGTTCGGCTTGGTAACAGGATTCCACCTAACAATTTCACGTTGTCACGTCGTCACAACGTTATGCTTTCGGGGTTACAACGTTTTTCTGTGGGCTCCCATTTACGTTGTCACAACGTTGTGGCCTGACGTTGTGATACTAGTACGTTATTTTTACGTGGCCACAAGGTTACGTTATTTGATACTAACGTATTTTACGTTGTCTTAGCGTTCGATTTAACGTTAATAGTTGAATAGTTTTCCCAGTAAGGAACATTACATAAGAAACAAAGCTGAAATTCACTTCAATCTTTATTCGCCAATTTGCATGTTGTTTTGGTCGTGTTTTCTGAAGCTGTAGCTGAATAGTGAAGAAAGAATCTCAAAGTGAAAAGTTTTACAGAAAACCATCGTGACAAGTTATAAGAAACGTTGTTATAACGTTGTGAGGAGCCCAAAGCATAACGTTTCCTCAACGTAAATTTGCAACGTTGTTATTACGTTGTGACATAACGTTATAAAATGACGTAATACTAACGTTGTGATAACGTTGTGTCATGACGTTACCAATCTACAACCTTCCCACAACGTTGTGGCATGACGTTACCAATCTACAACCTTCCCACAACGTTGTGGCATGATGTTACCAATCTACAACCTTCCCACAACGTTGTGGCATGACGTTACCAATCTACAACCTTCCCACAACGTTGTGTCATGACGTTACCAATCTACAACCTTCCCACAACGTTGTGGCATGACGTTACCAATCTACAACCTTCCCACAACGTTGTGGCATGACGTTACCAATCTACAACCTTCCCACAACGTTGTGGCATGACGTTACCAATCTACAACCTTCCCACAACGTTGTGTCATGACGTTACCAATCTACAACCTTCCCACAACGTTGTGTCATGACGTTACCAATCTACAACCTTCCCACAACGTTGTGTCATGACGTTACCAATCTACAACCTTCCCACAACGTTGTGTCATGACGTTACCAATCTACAACCTTCCCACAACGTTGTGTCATGACGTTACCAATCTACAACCTTCCCACAACGTTGTGGCATGACGTTACCAATCTACAACCTTCCCACAACGTTGTGTCATGACGTTACCAATCTACAACCTTCCCACAACGTTGTGTCATGACGTTACCAATCTACAACCTTCCCACAACGTTGTGGCATGACGTTACCAATCTACAACCTTCCCACAACGTTGTGGCATGACGTTACCAATCTACAACCTTCCCACAACGTTGTGGCATGACGTTACCAATCTACAACCTTCCCACAACGTTGTATCATGACGTTACCAATCTACAACCTTCCCACAACGTTGTGTCATGACGTTACCAATCTACAACCTTCCCACAACGTTGTGTCATGACGTTACCAATCTACAACCTTCCCACAACGTTGTATCATGACGTTACCAATCTACAACCTTCCCACAACGTTGTATCATGACGTTACCAATCTACAACCTTCCCACAACGTTGTGTCATGACGTTACCAATCTACAACCTTCCCACAACGTTGTGGCATGACGTTACCAATCTACAACCTTCCACAACGTTGTGGCATGACGTTACCAATCTACAACCTTCCCACAACGTTGTATCATGACGTTACCAATCTCTACAACCTTCCCACAACGTTGTGGCATGACGTTACCAATCTACAACCTTCCCACAACGTTGTGGTCATGACGTTACCAATCTACAACCTTCCTGCACAACGTTGCAACGTTACCAATCTAAACCTTCCCACAACAGAACGTTGTGTGTTTAAAACAACCTACTGTCGGAAATGCTAGAAAAATGCTTTTGACTTATATTTAAAATTCAGAGGTATTACAGTTACTTAAATAACAAATATCACTTCAAGAAACATCTACCTAATGTAGACCGGGGGAATAAATTTAGAGACATGCTCTAAACTGTGTTTTTACTGATGAAAATACCAAAAACTTAGAAAAATAAGGGGTAGTTGGACGTTATTTGAAACAAACATTAACTGCCTGTCTTACGTCATCAGCATGCACGGTATCGACAGGTGAAATTGACACCTGAGCACACGCTCGGGCGAGGGGTCATCTCAATAGATGTCTTCTGCAAAATGTTGAATATGTGTACGTATAGTATACGCATCAGTTATGTAAGGGATCATTTGTGTATGTGTGTTTGTTGTGACATAAACATACGAATTACTGTACATTGAAAGAATCCTATCACTTGTGGTATCTTATCGATTGATTGTAGAAATGTGCAACGTTTTGATAAATGTTTTGCATGTCAACAGTATAGTTCATTGAAAAAATATGGATGTAATTCGGTCAGTTTAATCTAGTTGTGAACATTGGCCAAAGATATATTATATATATTTTTCTTTTCATAAAGTTTGTAGACCGTCCGTCTAAGCACTCCCTTGTCAAAGTTGTCAAGGATGGTTTTACGTCTCGGTTTTGCATATGAGACGGTCCCTGTCTTGTCTGATTTGTTTACAATATTGTAAACTTGTTGGTAAGACATGCCAACAGCTCTACAAGTTCTGTAATAAACCCTCTCTACACTAATGAAAGGTTTACCTCTGTCTTTTTAAGCAGAAAAACTATAAACCTTTGCAACAATCGACTGCAAATCGTTGGCCATAGTGCACGCTGTGATAAAGATGTGCATGCATGACGGGAAACCTATTTATCGACTTAACATTTATATTAATATTTCTTCAATACAGAAAACGATAATTAAGTAAAGTAACACAAACATTAAACGTTTATTTGTTTAGGAAAAACGTTAATTCATATTTTTACACCACCTGTATTATTAGCATAAATGTAAAGACTATTTCAGATTTCTGTTGTTGAACTCTGAATAAATCTTAAGTTGCTGTTTTGGTACCAAATTCTCTCCTGTAAACTGCCCTTTAAATGTATGGGGATGTTAAATCGATTGAAATAAAAATTAGGTAGACAATAGGCGAGTTGATATATTGACAACATAGTACATTTATCACCTTTATAAAGATACTAAGGATAAAAAGCATTTTTCTAGCATTTCCGACAGTACTATAGCTGGGATTATCCACCATTCATTACGGATATATTACGAGCGCTTCAGGCAGAAGCAGTTTGTGCACCCAAATACCGCATCACTCATTCACAACTTATACGTAACATAGCAATTCTATTGTGTGTTCTATGATCAGTAGCACTCAACATCAGGTAAGAAATGAACATGGGACGTTCGCAATCTGTATATTAAAACATGAATTAGGCATATGTTGGTTTACTGTCGGCACGGAAAGTCTATGTTTTATGGTGGCTAAAATATAAAAAGGATAATCGATGGTGATAAATTTCATTCGGGCACTACTGTCGAGTATAATATCAATGAATAGCTCACAACGCGTCAGGAATACAGCATAAATTCAAAAATAATTTTGAAGGGCCAATTAGCTAGCAGTTAGCATCTGAAACGACCCTGCTTATAATGGGTATTTCGTGGTCGTTTATATCACATAGGGCTTTCCTCCTGCATTAAGCGGACACTTCGTGAAATAAATGGAATACTGTTGAAAGCGGAGTTAACCCTGCTCACTCATTCACCAACTCACACCGTGACATGTTAAACACCAAGCTTAAGCTCTATCAGCATATACACTGTTCCGCATCTTTCAAAACGAAAATTATTTTAACCGTTCCTCCCATTAGATCTTGCTTACGTAGAATATTTCGTTCGCACGTTTATTTTCAACACATCTCCAAGTCAAAACATTAATTACACAGTAGATTCGTTTCCTGCTGACTGGGTTCCGTCCTATTGCGCAACTTAGTTCAATAACCAGCCCAGAATTTTGAGACCAACTCATTCAACTGGATACATAAATATTAATCAGTATTATTTGACACATCTAATCACTTGTATATTGCAACACTACGCTCCTTCTAATCCTTGCAAACTTCGTCGTGCTGCGTGCTCTGTCGTATAGCGTCCTCTGACAAACGGAAATCTGGAAATCGTGGAAATCTCAAAGCGAGGCTCGGCCGCTAGAAACGTTTTGCGGTCTGGTACGGACTTGATATTATATCAATCAAATTGTACGTTACAAACAATACACGTAATAAGCGCAAAGAACACATAACAGGCGTAACCAGTGAGCCAGATGAATTGTGAATCACTGTACGACCTCTTCAAACAGGGGCAGTTTGTAAGGTCTTAGTTAGTTAACGACATGCTGCCTAAACCTCGACATAAAATAGAGAAATACGATTTTTTTTAAAACTTTAAACTTAAAATTAATTTCTAAATACCATTTTCTTATGAAACAAGGAATTGCAATTTTCTATAACCATAGCTGTTTGTTGTGTCTTTTTTCACTTTCACAAGAGAAAATTCGGATCGACTGAAAAGTAGGTCATTGTCTGAATTGGTTAATGAGACTCATGTTTTGGTTTGAGGTGTCAGTAGTATTACTTAGCACTCATTGTGATCATTTCGGACAAAACCAATAAAACGCGTGACTCATGCATGAAAATATTACGAGCGCTTCAAACAGATCAGTTTGTGCACTCAAACACACCACACCACCTATTCACAGTTACATCTGACACCAGGAAAGAACGTGCAAAGCGGCCTTCTGATGGCGAGACTGCAACAATGAAGAATGCTGTTTGCACACACTAGTTTAACTAACTGGCAAAAAATGTATATAAAGACAGTTGCCCTGTGTATATCGCTCAGTTCCTTTATACTAGCAATTAAAGTACTGTAGGAAAAGGAAAAAAAACTGTTTTAGGCTGTTAAACTGTATCCCTAAAGTTTACACAATTGCAAACAGCATATGTCGAAATAACCCACTTCGGCCTAACTGGGCGTTCAGTGGGATGCGTAATACGATATCCAGAAAACATTTTCACTCGTAAAGTCGGGCAAAACTTACAGATGGCAATTAGGTCACTCAGCCAGGACCCTCGACTCACCTGGCATGAAATGCATGTGCTGCCCACAGGCACAAGGGGTCATCTCAAAGATATTTGATGCTTTTTCTTGTGTGTTGAATATGTCTCATCTATTGATTAACATCTTACGTGTCTTTCTTTCATAAAGTACATGTTCAGATATGTAAAAGAGTATGATACCCGTAGAAAAGCATAATCAGTCATCGTATTAAATGTCTCAAAATATTAGGTTGCATGACCACCCGAAGGTCGACAGGACTGGATATTGTTTGTAAATTGTTATGACATGCCGTTTACTTCCCCAGTTTACTTCCCCTGAAGGATTATCTTACCTTAACTTATATCTCTATCCTCCAGCCCGGCCCCAACCACCATCTGCAACACGTCCTTGCCGTCGTTTTGCTTTTGAGACGACCCCTCCTACCTGTTTCTTTTTATAGTGATAGTCACTCCATGGAAGCTACATCCTTAATAGTTTCAGTATTGAAGTTATTATTTTTTACGTCAGCTATCGTTTATAATGAAGCTAAGTCTAATTTCAAAGTGGGTATTTAAAAAGTGTCCTTGTAATACAATATCACCGCACTCTAATTTGCATAAAGCCATGGTCTTTCCAAATAAGTCGAGTTGAACTTAGAAAAAACGCGTTGCTCTTTTCTGCACTAATCTTTCCTCAGTAAAATACAATTTTTACGTTTGTTATCTATCTACCACTAAGACTGTAGTTAGGCCAAACTTAGTTTAACAAATATTTCACACTTTCCCATATTATCTACGTAACTGTATATGTAAATGAATGTGAAATAACAGTTTGTTTTCTATTTCCGACAGTACTTTTAGTATCTGAAACGACCCAGCCCTTAGTGGATATTTGATATGATTATGGAAATGAAGTGATCGTTTATAACACGTTGGGCTTCACCTGCATTAAGCTGACACTGCGTGAAATAAATGGAAGACTGTTCACAGCGTGTACTCACTCACTCACTCACTCACTCACAACGTGACATGTTAAACACCAAGCTCTCAACATATGCACTGATCCGTATCATTCCGAATGAAAATTCATTTAACGATTCCTCTGATCCTGCTTACGCAGAATATTTCGTTTCTAATGTGTATTTTCAACACATCTCAAGGTTTCAAAAGTACTACTTAGCACTCTTTGTGAGCGTTTCTTGTGTGAAGTCCATTTCTGGTGTCCCCCGCCGTGATATTGCTGGCATAGTGCTAAAAGCGGCGTAAAACTAAACTCACTCACTCACTGTGAGCGTTTCTGACAAAACCAAAAAACCGTATGTATGAAAATATTACGAGCGCTTCAAACAGAGCAGTTTGTGCACTCAAACACACCACACCACCTATTCACAGTTACATCTGATACGAATGAAAGGAAGTATACGAACGTGAAAAGCGGCCCTCTGGTGGCGAGTCTGCAACAATGAAGCATGATGTTTGCACACACTAGTTTAACTAACGGGCAAAAAATGTATATAAAGACAGTTGCCCTGTGTATATCGCTCAGTTCCTTTAAACAAGCAATTAGTATCTGAAACGACCCAGCCCTTAGTGGATATTTGGTATGATTATTGAAATGAAGTGATCGTTTATATATCACTTTGGGCTTCACCTGCATTAAGCTGACACTGCGTGAAATAACTTGAACACTTTTCACAGCGTGGTTGAACCCAGCTCACTCACTCACTCACTCCGTGACATGTAAAACACCAAGCTCTGAATATATGCAGTACTGTTCCGTATCTTTCCAAAGAAAACTTCATTTAACCCTTCCTCTGATCTTGCATTCGCAGAATATTTAGTTTCTAATGTGTATTTTCAACACATCCCAAGGTTTCAATAGTACTATTTAAGCACTCTTTGTGAGCGTTTCTGACAAAACCAATAAATCGTATGTAAGAAAATATCACGAGTGCTTCAAACAGAGCAGTTTGTGCACTCAAACACACCACACCACCTATTCACAGTTACATCTGACACCAGAATGAAAGGAAATATACGAACGTGCAGAACGGCCCTCTGGTGGCGAGACTGCAACAATGAAACATGATGTTTGCACACACTAGTTTAAGTAACGGGCAAAAAAAGGCACATGAAGACAGTTGCCCTGTGTATATCGCTCAGTTGCTTTAAACAAGCAATTAGTATCTGAAACGACCCAGCCCTTAGTGGATATTTGGTATGATTATTGAAATGAAGTGATCGTTTATATCACTTTGGGCTTCACCTGCATTTAGCTGACACTGCGTGAAATAACTTGAACACTTTTCACAGCGTGGTTGAACCCAGCTCACTCACTCACTCACTCACAACGTGACATGTTAAACACCAAGCTCTCAACATATGCACTGCTCCGTATCATTCCACACGAAAATTCACTTAACGATTCCTCTGATCCTGCTTACGCAGAATATTTCGTTTCTAATGTGTATTTTCAAGACACCCCAAGGTTTCAAAAGTACTACTTAGCACTCTTTGTGAGCGTTTCTTGTGTGAAGTCCATTTCTGGTGTCCCCCCGCCGTGATATTGCTGGCATAGTGCTAAAAGCGGCGTAAAACTAAACTCACTCACTCACTGTGAGCGATTCTGACAAAACCAAAAAAACCGTATGTATGAAAATATTACGAGCGCTTCAAACAGAGCAGTCTGTGCACTCAAACACACCACACCATCTATTCACAGTTACATCTGACACCAGAATGAAAGGAAGTATACGAACGTAAAAAGCGGCCCTCTGGTGGCGAGTCTGCAACAATGAAACATGCTGTTTGCACACACTAGTGTAACTAACGGACGAAAAGGGTACATGAAGACAGTTGCCCTGTGTATAGCGCTCAGTTCCTTTAAACTAACAGATAGTATCTGAAACGACGCAGCTCTTAGTGGACATTACTCTTCTGCACAAATTAAAAACACTGACGAGGCATACAAAACCCTGATTCATATCTCGGACATGTCACGAGCGCTTCAAGCAGGACACGTTTAATACCCAGGTATCCAAGGCTCAAACGGTACGACTGCCGAATCGTAACATAGCGATTCAATTGCGCATTCTCATGGTTAGTAATACCCGACACCAAGAGACAAAGACAAAGGAAACATACGAACGGTGTACCCCCACCGTGCCCACTTTTCTTAAAACAACAAAATGCAGTCACCCGTAGGACAATCGGGGGGATTAGTTATAGTCTGCTTCAAGGTACATCTGGTGACACCATGAGTCCGTGACCACAAGTCTTATTAAATTGGTGAGCACATTTCAGAACAAATTATATATTAAATGAACCCCCACTTCACCATTCATCATCATGGCTAATGCTAAATTTGACATTCAGTACATTGTTAATACACAGGGTGAACTAAATTTGATTTATAGCAACTGTAAGTTTAGGGTTAAGATCCGAAAGAATAATAATGTGTACTGGAGATGCTGTGTCAAAGACTGCCGAGCGACACTGAATATGACTGAAGGACTCATCACTAAGTCATTAACAGCATTCATAGCCATGAGGTCGATCCAAACAGACTTTCTGTTGACAAGATCTTGACTAGATCTGTTTCTGCCATATATCAAGATGTGATTGTTAATAAACAGTTGTATGTTAATAACTTATTATTTCAAACTCATTACACTTATGTCTTGCTGAGTTATGCCAGGTACTAGTTTTTTAATTAAGTATGTAGTTTATGACTGCCCAAAGAGTTAAGTAGACTATACTATATGCCACTGCCCTCTAGCCTGATACAGACTATACCCTAATCCCTCTGTTGTTTTAACACTGTCCATTTCCAAAAGTGGGCAAAGTGGGAGTAAACCGTACGAACGATGGTGTCGGGCTTTGGTTGACTGGTTATGTACATGTTAAAACTACCCGTGAAGACCCAGGCTAGAAATGGTCTTCACTAACCCATGCTTTTCGTGAAAGCGACTAACGGCATCGGGTGGTCAGGCTCGCTGACTTGGTTGACACATGTCATTTGTTCCCAAGTGCGTAGGTCGATGCTCATGCTGTTGATCACTGGATTGTCTGGTCCAGACTTGATTATCTACAGTCCGCCATATAGCTGGAATATTGCTGTTGCGGCGTAAAACAACAAACCAACCAAACAACCATGTTCTGACTGTTTCGGTTCTGTTAGTGCCATTGGAATTGCTTTGTCCCAGGGTTACAAGTGCAGTCATGAAAGAACTTTTGACCTTTCATTCACATTACATGGCGATCAGATCCGTGATGTTCCGGGTTAGCACTGATCGTCAGCAACCCATGCTTGTCGTAAGAGGCGACTAACGGGTTCGGGTGGTCAGGCTCGCTTACTTAGGACCCGTGAAGGTCCGGGTGAGAATATTGATCTTCAGTAACCCGTACTCGTGGTGAGAGGCTGCTAAGGGGATTGGGTAGTCAGGCTCGCTGACTTGGTTGACACATGTCATCGGTTCCCAATTGCGCAGATCGATGCTCATGCTGTTGATCACTGGATTGTCTGGTCCAGACTCGATCATTTACAGCCCGCCGCCATATAGCTGGAATATTGCTGTGTGCGGCGTAAAACAACAAACAAACAAAAACATGCCGAAGCCAGATTTAAATTTATGAAAAATCCGCAATTTACCTCTGTGTCTTGAGAACGACGACCTCTTATGACCTCCGCTCCTCTTACCTCCACGCGTGGCATCAGCAGCCTTTGACACTGTAAGGAGTTACAAAAAACGCAACACTATTTTAAGCATTTAAACACTTTCCTGAACAACGTTACTACTGATTAGGACAACATTAATGGATGACCAACTTCTATATTCAGGTGATGCGACGTGTCGATATAGATTCTTGTGTGATGCCAGCTTGACAACGACGCAAGAATCTGTATCGAAACGTCCCATCACCTCAATAAAGAAGTTGGTCATCCGTAAAGGTTGTCCTTATCTGACTCTCCAACTTCCAAAAATGCCACTCACACTTGAAGATTCTTTGAGAGGCGTTTTAGAAGTTGTATAGTTGTAGTAGTAGTAGCAGCAGCAGCAGTAGTAGTAGTAGTAGTAGTAGTAGTAGTGATGGTGGTAGTAGTAGTAGTAGTAGTAGTGGTGGTAGTAGTAGTAGTAGTAGTGGTGGTAGTAGTAGTAGTAGTAGTAGTAGTAGTAGTGGTGGTGGTGGTAGTTGTAGTAGTCGTAGTGGTGGTGGTGGTAGTAGTAGTAGTAGTAGTGGTGGTGGTAGTTGTAGTAGTCGTAGTGGTGGTGGTAGTAGTAGTAGTAGTAGTAGTAGTAGTAGTAGTAGTAGTAGTAGTAGGTAGTAGTAGTAGTAGTAGTAGTGGTGGTGGTGGTGGTGGTAGTAGTAGTAGTAGTAACAGTAGTAGCAACAGTAGTAGCAGTAAATAGTGAATTTTGTTTTACGCCACACTCAGCAATATTCCAGATATATGGCGGCGATCTGTAAATAATCCAGCCTGGACCAGACAATCTAGTGATCAACAGCATGAGCATCGATCTACGCAATTGGGAACCAATGACATGTGTCAACCCCGTCAGCGAGCCTGACCACCCAATCCCGTTAGTCGCCTCTTACGACAAGCATGGGTTACTAAAGATAAGTTCTATTCCGGATCTTCACCAGCGATGAATCCAGGTAAAGTAGGACAGCGAACAATCAGAATGTGAGAGAGTAAGTGAGTATGGTTTTACGTCGCTTTTAGCAATATTCCAGCAATATCACGGCGGGGGACACCAGAAATGGTCTTCACACATTGTACCCATGTGGGGAATCGAACCCGGGTTTTCAGCGTAACGGGCGGACGCTTTAACCACTAGGCTACCCCACCTGAATATGAACTAATGATACAGTATACCTGCACTACTGGCCACAGACAGCATCTGTTTTTGTTAGATAACATATTTTGCTCAGTATCATTCTATAATATAAAAACAAACAAAAGAGCAAAAATGCTTTACCCTTGGGGAGATCTGTATAATTGTTATGAAATTCGTGAAATGACTCGTGTGTTTTTAAATATACTTTTAAAGTTGTGAAGTGCATTGTCAGTAAACGGAAAGCATTCGAAAGCAATACCAGGAGGGAGACACAAGAAATAGGCTTCAAATATTTTAAACCGCTTTGCTACTGTACACAATATGTATAGAGTGAGTGAGTTTTGTTTTACGCCGCTTTCAGCAGAATTCCAGCAATATCACGGCGGAGGACACAGAAATGGTCTTCACACATTGTAGCCATGTGGGGAACCTGCTGCGTGCCGAGTGAACGCCTTAACCACAAAACTACCCCAGATCGATGCTTATGCTGTTGATCAGTGGATTGTCTAGTCCAGATTCGATCATTTCCAGATCGCCGCCATATAGGTGGAATATTGCTGAGTACGGCGTTAAACAACGAAACAAATACATAACCCTGTATTACCTGTTTTGGATAGGGCTTCCACTTGCTGCAGCATCTGGTCCTGTCGCTGGTAGATCTTAGCCAGCATGGTGGCCCCTACGTCAAAAACATCGTGGAAGTAATTTTAAATTATTTAATGATCCACTGAATTAGCCGTTTGAAAAAGAATTAAGAGGTTGAGTGAGTGAGTTTAGTTTTTCGCCGCTTTGTAGCATTCCAGCAATATCACGGCCAGGGACACCAGAATTTGGCTTCACACATTGTACCATTGTGGGGAATTGAACATGTGTCATCGGCGTGACGGGCGGACGCTTTAACCATTAGGCTACCCCACCGCCCCTGAAAAATATTCTAACTTCGTTGAGTTTTAGAGTACAATATTGACATAGCAGTTTCTTTTATTTTCGATCGCTTCAACCCCTTTACGCCCCAGAATTAAGAGAAGGGAGTGAGCTTTCTTTTCTGACATGTGCAGAAATATTTAGAGGTGAGGTGAAATGGGAGTTAATGTCGTACTTAAGAATATTTCGCTCATGTGACGACGTGCATGCGTGTGTATGTGTGGCTACTTGTACCAGCCCAGACTTAAGCTGGTTTTATAGTGCTAGCTCACTGAGATACCATGCCGCAGTGAAGCATGAATACCCAACTCAGACACATTATACTGACTCCGAGCCGACCAGTCCTTGTTGTACCCATTAATGCCGAGCGCCAGACAGGGACCAACAAGTTCCGTATTTTAACGTCTTTTGGTATGACGAGGCTGGGTACCGTACCCGCGATCTTCCACTCTTCGGGTGGACGTTCTAACCACTACACCACGGAGGCGGTCAGAAATATTTTGAGGGACTAAATACCCTCTAAAAGACTTAGTAACAAGAGGTATGACTTCATTCTTATGAAAGACGATTTTCCCGTTACTGTTGAGGAATATTCCTGCAGTTCCAGCCTTTGGTCACTTTTGGATTTCAACCTTTTAGGTGTACTCGCTACCGTTCATATTTTTTATTTATCCATCCATCCATCCATCCATCCATCCATCCATCCATCCATCCATCCATCCATCCATCCATCCATCCATCCATCCATCCATCCATCCATCCATCCATCCATCCATCCATCCATCCATCCATCCATCCATCCATCCATTTATTTATTTATTTATTTATTTATTTATTTATTTATTTATTTATTTATTTATGGGATTGACATGAACTAGATATTTCCGAATGTGGTAGGGCAGTTGATGGAAAAATGGCGGCCATCTTGGATATTTTGAGTGTCCAAAGTTATTTGCTGAACAGGGAACCAATGATGAGCAATCATGCCAATTTTGGTGCTTGTATCACAAAGTGAATGATTCGGCCTATTTTGGTCTGTTATCCGCCCGTTCTAACTGACCAGAATGGTGTCTGATGCAAATACCTATTTAGACATTTAATGCAATATTTCCCCGTGTTAGTTCAGCGGAACAATTTGCCTTCACACACGTATGACACGGATGACATCTATCGTTTATTGACATTTATTATGTGTAACCATACGATGTCCGTTTGCCTATGTCCATTTGTAATCACAGCTACTTCGTTAACGTACCTTCGTCCTCATCATACGACGCCATCACTACGCCCAACAACAGCAGCAGGAGGTACACAATCTTCATCATTTCAACCTGCAGCGAGAAGCAGTCTAATTGGTTTTTAAATGTCATACGATTGAATGTTCTTTACAATGAGTGGCTCGGCAAAGAAACGAGGAAAGATAGTTCAACTTTGGGAAGATCTGCATAATTGTGAAAGGCCGCTTGTATTATTATGCATTGGTCGTTGATGGGTAAGGTAATAATGCAGTATAGTATAGTATAGTATAGCATAGTATATTATAGTATAGTATAATATAGCATAGCATAGCATAGCATAGCATAGCATAGCATAGCATAGCATAGTATAGTATAGTATAGTATAGTATAGTACAACATAACATAGCATAGTATAGTATAGTACAACATAGCATAGCATAGTATAGCATAGTACAACATAGCATAGCATAACATAGCACTTCACAGTACAGCATAGCATAGTAAAGTATAGTATAAGTATAGTATAGTATAGTATAGCATAGCATAGTATAATATAGTACAACATAACATAGCATAGCATAGTATAGTTCAACATAGCATAGCATAGCAGAGCACAGCACAGCATAGCATAGCATAGCATAGTAAAGTATAGTATAGTATAGTACAGTACAGTATAGTATAGTATAGTATAGTATAGTAACGTATAGTATAGTATAGTATAGTATAGTATAGTATATTTAAAGTATAGTATGGCATAGCATAGCTTAGCATCATCATCATCATCGAACTCTTTATTACATATGAAGGCCGCTGGCCCATATACATATTAATAATAATAATATTAATAGTTACCTGCATAGTATAGAATAGCATAACATAGCATAGCAAAGGATAGTATAGAATAGTATAGGAAAACATAGCATAGCATAGCACAGCACAGCACAGCACAGCACAGCACAGCATAGCATAGCATAGCATAGTAGCATAGTAAAGTATAGTTGGATCAGGTGGTCAGGCTCGCTGGCTTGGTTGACACATGTCATCGGTTCCCAATTGCGCAGATGGATGCTCATGCTGTTGATCACTGGATTGTCTGGCCCAGACTTGATTATTTCCAGACCGCCGCCATATAGCTGGAATATTGCTGAGTGCGGCGTAAAACTAAATTCACTCACTCACTCAAGTAGACATAAGGAGAACAAGGTAAACCTATCGACATCTTTATGCAATCGCGTATGGAGCAAGCACACATTGCAGCCGCGAACGGTAAAGCTTTAAAAGTAGCAAGTCTTCCCCTTGTGTATTTAACAATCAATGGAAAGAGATTTTTGTCAACGATTACCAATGACTGATGTTAATTCGCCATGCTCGTAGATTATACTAAAAGCATCTGTACTTATACAAAGTAAATACATATTGTTTAGCATAAGGACATTTCAATCTGCTTGGCTAATTCTTGAGATTTCTTGAGATTAAATCTACAGGCGACCTAACCTGGCAATATGCACAAATTCTGTCTCTTTTAAATAGGCAACTGTAAGTGGCAAGATCACTGATAAATCCATGTAGGTAATAAAGTTTAAAATGTAGTTCAAAAACATGTTTCCTTTAAGAGTAAGGATCAAGGGCTCACCTTGGACTTGTGATATCCTGGAATAGACGTTCACAACCTCAGGCTGGGAAATGAAGTGGTTGTGTTTCATTAATACAATTTTATAGACATCCTCTTCGACTCTCGTGACCTTTGTACTCCGTTGTACAAAAACAAAATTAAAGAGATTTTCAGGAGGTAACTCTTTTTTTCCAAGTAATGATCACACTGAACCAAAATCAATAACTTTCTTCTTACCGAACCTTTTCTCACGTGTGTCAATTTTATTACATTAATGTTTCCTTGCAAAGCGGGACAATAGCCCAACGTGGCACAAACCACAAACGACTTACGTTATGTGAGAAAATTCCACAGCAAAATTCTCACCTTCGAACAAAGTTAAATGTGCAATGCTAATTACATTTAAAGCTTAAAACTACGCGAGAAAATAATGCACAATATGCTATATGTCTTCAGTCAGAACGTGTATGTCTAATTAAACTTACAAAGTTCAAGTTGGACAGAACTAGTTAAACTTGATTTACACCAAAGGAGGTGATAATGAATTTATATCACGACTTCAGAATATTCTAGTGAGAGAGTGAGTGACTTTAGTTTTTCGCCGATTTTAGCAATATTCTTGCAACATCAATGCGAGGGACACCAGAAATGTGTGGAATCGAACCCGGGTCTTCGATGTGACGAGTGAACGCTTTAACCACTACGCTACTTCGGTGAATGTCATTTTAGAAGTTTGGCAGTTCAATATTGACAAACTTTATGGAAAACATTTTATTTTATTTTCGAATGTACATTCATCCGTCTTGACGTGTGTAAACATGTTCTATTTACATATATTCACTTTGTGCACTGACTCAACATCCACCTGATGAAGGAGCAAGAATTAGCTCTGACACGTCGTATCAAGAATAAAAAGAAGTTGTTATCTTTAAAATTTGTCATGTATTCTTTCATTTTGTTGTGCGACGTTTCGATACAAATTCTGGTACCGTTGGCATGTAGAGTTGTCAAGAATCGCCATCGAAACGTCGTATTCACGAAATTAAAGAAGTTATTATCCGTAAATTTTGTCTTTGTTCAAAATATTCTAGTGTGATATTTAGTCAGTTGATGAAAACGATCGACGAAAACAACAGGTTTATTAACCGTTTCTATTCCTCAGAAGAACGACCAGTTTCGATTATCAACAAAAACATAAACCATTTGGCGAAAATTGCCAAATAAGGATATTTATAATCTATATTGTTCTGTTTCCATGACAACAAGTTCATGTTGGTGTCTACCTGGCAAAGAAATAGTACGTACCGAATCCCAATTCCATGATATTGTTTTGATTGCTCAATAACTACTCTTGTATCGATTTAGTGTGGGCAGTTGAACGAACATTTTTAAACTAAGCAGCATTTTGTTTAAATATCTATTTAAGGAAATTATGCGATCCTGCAGGTGTTGCCGGTAGGTGTCACCTGGTATCATTACTCATCCACTCTTTTCAGCGCTACGTTGATAAATGTAATCATTGGGAAATCGAAGCTGGTTATTTTCATGCCTTGATGCATTGTATATAGGAAATAGTTTCTATCAAATAGCTACTTATCACATCGAAAAGTGTTATAAAATTATACATATTGACGAAGAGCATATTTTACAACCAACATGTAACGTTATTTGTGTATACACTCCCAAACAAGAAACGCATAGGTGATATTGATAAGTGACCTTTCAAATATTTTTCAAAATTAGTTTGTGATTTTTTATAATTTCGCCGGTATAATGACGTGTACAACGCACAATTGCAACTAAACTGCGGTAACATAATGCACATTGCAAAATATGCAGGTGCGGTTTTGCGTTTAGACGGTCATTGACTTTTTTTTAGGTAAATGTTAGAATATAGTAATGTCACGAATCACTACTGTAAATTGAAACATTGCCATTGGACGTCTGGAGGCTGGGGAGTCTCAAAACCTCCGTTGAACGTCACCTCAAAGTACCAGGAGTCGTTTATGGGGCCGATATGAACAAACCAATTCAAGGCAAGATGGGCTTCAAAGTGGTTGACCTCGGATTTTCTTCACTTGGGGAATCAAACAGTCACAGCAACTGAAACTGCAACTGCAAGTGCAGTGCCTAGTTTGAGGAGAGACTCGGCACAAACCATTCGTAATCGTCGTCGACGGGTCGAGTCGTAAATTACCGGAATCTACACATCTAACGATGTGTATCGTTCAAAGCCGAATCACACCTTCTACTTCAGTGCCGTGACGGGAGAGAACGTTTTGTCCAGAATTGTGTCGCCCAGGTTGACCGGTGGTGTCATGATGTGGGGAACCATATCCTACACGCGGAAATCTACCACTGTGAGCCTTCAGGGCAATTGAACTGCTATTCGGTACATAGACGAGATCATTGACCGCCAGAGGAAGTTGTTCCAGATAGATAACGTCAGGCCTCACACATCACATGCCACTATCAGTGTCTTCAGAATGAGAACAATACAATGCTTCCATGGTCTTCAAAATCGCCCAAGCTCTGCCCCATTTGTGGGATGAGCTCGGCCGACGCATACGTGTACGTCAACCGGCGCCCCCGACGTTAGATCAACTCTCGCAGGCATTGCAAGGGGAATGTGTCAGAATTCTATGAGGTCGAATTCAAAGATTTATTCAGTCCATGCCGAGACGGCGCAGAGCAGTTTATGGGGCTCATGGTGTCCACAACAGATTCTGAAGACAACACCCAACTGGGACCGGGCGCCTTCACTTATTGAACTTTTTATTAACATACATTTGATATTTTATACTGGGACATTTCGCTGCATCTGATCCCGAATAGCATGTTTTATCGCACTTTAAAGTTAGCAGATGAACTCGTGAAAGTACACCTGTGCGTTTCTTTTTGTGAGAGGACATTTAGATTCATCATTGTCTACTCTCCAAAAAGGTAGGGGATCGTAATGACATAAGGCAGAAGTCAGGAACACAGATCTGTTGACAACTGAAGGAACATTCTATACAAGGCAACCATTACTTTTACTGTATGTTCTTCAACAACGTATGTGATCGTGACGACTTTAGACAGAAGATTGATATCTGTGTTCGATTGAACATTTTTATGCTGGACAGCATTTTTACTACTGGTTCCAATTCCAAGCCAAAAAAACACGTATATTTCTGCAAATTATGGGAGTGGCGGGTGCTGTTATGATCAGTCGTCAAATGAAACGGTATCGGCACCGTCACACCAGAAACACTCCACCTTTAGCAGCATGATACTTCATGGGTAGTAGTATAAGCCATGGGGCTACGGGATTAGGGACTTCTCAAGGACTCAAGTTTTAAATTGAGCTCTTGGGAGGGACCTGGTCCCGTAGCCCCATGGTGTATACTACTTGGGCCATAACACTTCAGTGAAAGTTCGTCCTTGATTGATTGATTGAATGGTTGGTTGGTTGGTTGGTTGATTGTTGATTAACACCGCACTAAGCAATATTCCAGCTATATGGAAGCAGTCTGTACATAATCGAATCTGGTCCAGACCATCCATTGATCAACATCATGAACATCGATCTATACAATAGGGAACCGATGACAGGTGTCAACCAAGCCAGCGAGCCTGACCACCTGATCCCACTATACTATGCGAGTCGGCGAGCCTGACCACCCGATCCCGTCAGTGGACTCAAGCATAGGTTGGTGAAGACCATTTTTAATCCGGATCTTCACGATAAAAGCCAGTATTATCGATTTTGTCTATACTCTACTGAAACACGTAAGTTCTCCATACACTTGAATTGTGATCACATTGCTTATGTGTCGTCAGCGTGTTAGTCAATGTGTTCAGTGTGTCTCAGCCTGTGATTTGCAGACTTTTGAACCGGTTTCTGCAGACAAAATATATTAAAGGCGCAGTACACCACATGGCATAATAGGTCCAGGGTGGATTAATTAAGAACATGGCTTTCACCTTTTCGCGAACTCTTGATATCATCACTAATTAATAGGCATTCAAAAAACATGCTCTGTCATCGTATCTCAATATGTCAATCACTGGATTGTCTAGTCCAGATTCGAGTATTTACAGTTGGAACATTGCTAAGTGCGGCGTGAAACAAGCTTGGCCATGCTCATGATATATGTCGTTTTTATTTAGGCATTGATCTCCAACAAGCACTCAAATTGTTTGATTGTGACAGGAAACCGGAGGGCAAGAATCGACCAGAAAACGCCTGCATACTCTGTGACCAAGGTTTGTAATATCGTTTAAAGATACACACATGTTCCATAAGGCGAAAATGGCAAAACAGTAGCAAAAATTAGATGAATCAGTGACGTTGGCTGGCTGGTTATTTGTTTAACGCCCAAGCAATATTCCAGCTTTCATGCGGCGGTCTGTAAATAATCGAGTCTGGACCAGACAATCCACTGATCAACAGCATGAGCATCAATCTACACAATTGGGATACGATGACATGTGTCAACCAAGTCAGCGAGCCTGACCACCGGAACCCGTTAGTCGTCTCTTATGACAAGCATGGGTTACTGAAGACAACTTCTAACCCGGATCTTCATGGGCCCTTGTTCTTCGGCGTGACAGATGAATGCTTTAACCCGCTTGGCTAACCTACCACCGCAGAAGAAATAGACGCAATCTTGTACTGACTCTCCAGGTTCAGCGAGCCTGACCACCCGAGAATCAGTGATGACACCGGGTGCCCTACCCGCAGCACTCACCACTCACACAAATTGAATTGTAAAACAAAAAAATATCAAGAACTTTCATGGATATTTGCCCAGGGTGCCGTTGTACAAAACAACCTTAGTGCTGAGACTACATTAGGTCTATGTTAAGGTATGGGAGTTACGGTCACAACTTCCCCAGGTCGGTAATCAGAACATTACACTTGGTAAGACATAGGTCATTAGTCAAGGACTGGGGAATTCAATGAGTAAGTTAGTTTAGTTCTACGCCGCTTTTAGCAAAACAGTATCACGGCAGGGGGCACCAGAGAAAGGCTTCACACACTGAACCCATTTGGGAAAACAAACCCGGGTCTTCCGCGGTTTAACCAAAAGGCTACATACTCCACCGCACCTTAGGAATTTCACGCACTTCTCAATACAACTGTACATATTGGTCGCCATTGTCTGCCACAGGCAACACAGCTTTGTTATCAATGTTTGTGTCATTGCTGTCTTTAATCTGACTGGCAGAAACACGTTATAGAAGTTTTTGTAAAAGAATGTTAAACATATATCAAACGGAAACATACGTTACTGTCGCTCGTAAAACATATGATGGTTTTAGAATTAGCTTGTCAAAAGACAATCTATAAGAAGTTCCGAAAAATACCTGACTCCTAAGTTCGTCTGTGTATTTCATTGCACAACAACGCGAAACATTGCTGAAACCTTCTGTAATCAATAGTTGTTTGGTTTGTCGCCACAATTGTAAATGTCAGTAAAACATACATACCCAGTATATTGCGTGTTGCATAAGTGTGTAATCAAGCGATAGAACCATATGAAGAAAATGCTAATTTTGTAATCAGGTTTAGTGTTTCATAAAACAAACACCTCCAAATAGAAATAAACGTCAATGTTTGTCAAATGTGTTCCATGTGTTCAATTTTGTAAAATTTATGGTTAAGAATGAAACATTCGTTACTGACCCATACTTATAAAATGAATATTTCATGAACCATTGCCATTTGTTGCAAACATTAGGTTACCAAGATGTTTATACTTAACATACAAAAGTTCATTAACCATAACACTTTTCTTGCAACAATGATTGATATGCATTGACAAAATATCCGTTACAGAATTATACACAATTTACGAAACTAAAATAAATGAATCAGCTCTGCTTTGAGATTCCACGTGTTCATTTTTGAAACATTGATCACCTGGGAAGTTGTTTTGAATATCCCAAATAGAGGTTACCTTTTAAAAAATAAGTATGGAAAGTTAATCGTCAACTGTTATTGGTTATTACTTAGTAACACACGTTACATGAAGAACTGAATGATTGAGTATTATTTTGAAAAATTATGAAAGCTAGAACAAAGAAAGTGTTCCTATTGTCTCAAGTAGAGGTTTCTGTTACATTTAAATACAAAACGATCAGTGTTGAAAGGTGATTGTTAATGTTAAAAGTTGGTAACATACGTTACAGGAAAGTGCAAGGCCCACAACATGACGTCTAGATTATGTTTGCAGCAAACATTTACCATAACGGTTCAAAAATAATTAACTCATAACCTAGTGATGTAAAATCTACCCTAAGTACACCTCCCCTTGTTTGTGTGTTTAAGTATAGCAAAACATTGCTGATCATTAGAATTATGAAAATGTGCTCTTCATACATTGTCTGTTTACCAAATCGACTTTAATTCTTGAAAACAAACAATTCATGGGACCATCATTATGTTTTTAAGTAATTTTTCAGTGTTCTTTGGAAATATGAAACATATGATAATATACGATACAACATCATACCCCTCATAATTATAGCTACCACTTTGACATGAATAGAATTATCTTTGTAAAATGTTGTCCAGTTTTCACCATGTTAATGAGTTTACTATAATGGTATCGCAAGCCCTTTCTCTTTAACGAGTTTAGTTTAACAAGAAATGGTTTCAGTGCAATCCACGAAAATATCGTTTATTTAGATTTGTTAAGATGAAGGCCTTTTTGTATGCAGTTAGTAACAATGTTTAAGATAACATACTAACCAACTTACACCGTTCGCTAACTTTACTAACTACACATAACATAACGTATTTCCTATTTTCAAGTTGATATCAAAATAAATACTTACATTCAAACCTATAAACCATGAAAACAATCGTATCTTACTAGGCCTTAAAAATCAGATCAGATCAGTTGAATAATTGTCCCTTTAATTTGTCACTGTTTAAATTAACTTGAAACAATTTTCAGAAGTTGTTCTCTGCTTGTTGTAGCTTTCAGAGAACTAGTATTTTAACATGTCTGCGAAAACATTTGCTTTCTCATTACCGAAATATCAATGTACCGTTTTATTGAGAAATAGCGTTCAACGAACATTTTTTCCCAGAAAGCATATATTATGTATTACTGGTTCCCACTACAGGCCAAAAACTCATGTTCATTTATGCAAATTGTGTGAGCGGAGGACGTCATTGGGAGGACAGCCAAGATAGACGCTTCCCTTTTTCGTAAACACCTGGTGTCACTACTAATTTGTGTGATCCATCCATTTCACTCACTAATTTGTGTGATCCATCCATTTCACTGACTAATTTGTGTGATCAATCCATTTCACTGACTAATTTGTGTGATCCATCCATTTCACTGACATTTTGCCTTTTGTTCAAAATGGATTCTTCTCAGAATTGAGACAGATTATTCTCCCGGCTGGACATGTCCCATTTGTGATTAAGTTATCTCAAATATTCATTTCTTATTTCACACAAAGGACATTGTTGACAGTAAACCAAAGATGTGAAATCATTTTCAATTAACGTCTAAATTGCAATCATCTAATTTCTTGAATCAAAGTTGAGATCAACCACTTTGCTCCTTTGTCGTATCCTCTAATCCAACCCAGTCTATAATGTCATATTATTTCCGAATAAACTTATGACACTAAAAACTAAATGAATAACGACATGAATATTTGCAAACAGATCTTTATTATCAGGAAATGAGTGCATCTATCCCCATTATTACAAAAACATCTCACAGCCTTGTCCTGGAGGTGTTACGGGGGCTGAAAATGAAAAGTGTTAATTGTTACCGTAAATTCTATTGTATAAAATTAAAATAGGACCAGTTCATCAGTTTTAATGTAGCTGTAAGTGTTGATGTTAAGTGCATGCATAAGATTGTTGAAGTTAAGTGCATGTAGCTCTAAATGTTGAGGTTCAGTGCATGTAGGTGTGAGTGTTGAAGTTGAGTGTTTGTAGCTCTGGATGTTGAGGTTAAGCGCATGGAGGTGTGAGTGTTGAAGTTGAGTGCATGTAGCTCTTGGTGTTGAAGTTAAGTGCATGTAGGTGTGAGTGTTGAAGTTGAGTGTTTGTAGTGTTGAAGTTAAGTGTTAGGTGTGTAGCTGTTTGTAGCTCTGGGTGTTGAGGTTAAGTGCATGTAGGTGTGAGCGTTGAAGTTGAGTGTTTGTAGCTCTGGGTGTTGAAGTTAAGCGCATGTAGGTGTGAGTGTTGAAGTTGAGTGTTTGTAGCTCTGGGTGTTGAGGTTAAGTGCATGTAGGTGTTGAGTTGAGTGCATGAAGCTCTTGAGGTGTTTGTTAAGCTCATGTAGGTGTGAAGTTAAGTTGAGTGTTTGTAGCTCTTGGTGAGTTAAGCGAAGTTGTGAGTGTTGAAGTTGAGTGTTTGTAGCTCTTGGTGTTGAGGTTAAGTGCATGTAGGTGTGAGTGTTGAAGTTGAGTGTTTGTAGCTCTGGGTGTTGAAGTTAAGCGCATGTAGGTGTGAGTGTTGAAGTTGAGTGCATGTAGCTCTTGTTGAAGTTGAAGTGCGTGTTGAAGTTAAGCGCATGTAGGTGTGAGTGTTGAAGTTGAGTGTTTGTAGCTCTGGGTGTTGAAGTTAAGTGCATGGAGGTGTGAGTGTTGAGATTAAATGTTTGCAGGTTTGCATGTATTAATTAAATAAATAATGTAAGTAAGCACTAAGTATAACGTTAAGTGAAATGTCACGTAGAAGCGAGTTTAAGGTAAGTTACTGTTGGTTGTGAGTGATGAAAGGAAGCAAAGGTATAACAGATCTATGGCAGTGTACGCTAAACAGTGTTGTAATTCTAGGACAATGTTTCTGAAAAGATTCAGTAGAAGTTAAGAACTCTGACTTGTTGACAAAGTAGGAAAGTGGTGAGGAATGTCATATATGTTTCTGGAATTCACGTAGGCTTGGGTGATGAAAGTAAGTACACGTAGGTTTGGGTGATGAAAGTAAGTACACGTAGGTTTGGGTGATGGAAGTAAGTACACGTAGGTTTGGGTGATGAAAGTAAGTACACGTAGGTTTGGGTGATGAAAGAAAGTACACGTAGGTTTGGGTGATGAAAGTAAGTACACGTAGGTTTGGGTGATGAAAGTAAGTACACGTAGGTTTGGGTGATGAAAGTAAGTACACGTAGGTTTGGGTGATGAAAGTAAGTACACGTAGGTTTGGGTGATGAAAGTAAGTACACGTAGGTTTGGGTGATGAAAGTAAGTACACGTAGGTTTGGGTGATGAAAGTAAGTACACGTAGGTTTGGGTGATGAAAGTAAGTACACGTAGGTTTGGGTGATGAAAGTAAGTACACGTAGGTTTGGGTGATGAAAGTTAGTACACGTAGGTTTGGGTGATGAAAGTAAGTACATGTAGGTGTGTGGTGATGAAGGTAAGTACATGTAGGTGTTGGTGATGAAGGTAAGTACATGTAGGTGTTGGTGATGAAAGTAAGTACATGTAGGTGTTGGTGATGAAAGTAAGTACATGTAGGTGTGGGTGATGAAAGTAAGTACACGTGTTGGTGTTTGGGTGATGAAAAAGTACACGTAGGTTTGGGTGACGAAAGAAAGTACACGTAGGTTTGGGTGATGAAAATAAGTACACGTAGGTCTGGGTGATGAAAGAAAGTACACGTAGGTTTGGGTGATGGGTGAAAGTAAGTACACGTAGGTTTGGGTGATGAAAGTAAGTACACACGTAGGTTTGGGTGATGAAAAAAGTAAAGTTATAGAGTTTTGGTGATGAAAGAAAGTACACGTAGGTTTTGGTGATGAAAGTAAGTACACGTAGGTTTGGGTGATGAAAGTAAGTACACTTAGGTTTGGGTGATGAAAGTAAGTACACGTAGGTTTGGGTGATGAAAGTAAGTACACGTAGGTTTGGGTGATGAAAGTAAGTACACGTAGGTTTGGGTGATGAAAGTACATGTAGGTGTTGGTGATGATGAATGTAGTACATGTACATGCAGGTGTTGGTGATGAAGGTTACATGTAGGTGTTGGTGATGAAAGGTTAGTACATGTAGGTGTTGGTGATGAAAGTAAGTACATGTAGGTGTTGGTGATGAAGGTAAATTACATGTAGGTGTTGGTGATGAAGGTAAGTACATGTAGGTGTTGGTGATGAAGGTAAGTACATGTAGGTGTTGGTGATGAAGGTAATTACATGTAGGTGTTGGTGATGAAGGTAAGTACATGTAGGTGTGGGTGATGAAGGTAAGTACATGTAGGTGTTGGTGATGAAGGTAAGTACATGTAGGTGTTGGTGATGAAGGTGTACATGGGTGTATGTACATGTATGTGTTGTTGGTGATGAAGGTTAGTACATGTAGGTGTTGGTGATGAAGGTAAGTACATGTAGGTGTTGGTGATGAAGGTAAGTACATGTAGGTGTTGGTGATGAAGGTTAGTACATGTAGGTGTTGGTGATGAAGGTTAGTACATGTAGGTGTTGGTGATGAAGGTTAGTACATGTAGGTGTTGGTGATGAAGGTTAGTACATGTAGGTGTTGGTGATGAAGGTTAGTACATGTAGGTGTTGGTGATGAAGGTTAGGACATGTAGGTGCTGGTGATGAAGGTTAGTACATGTAGGTGTTGGTGATGAAGGTAAGTACATGTAGGTGTTGGTGATGAAGGTAATTACATGTGACTATGAGTGTTTAAGGAAGTACACGTACCTGTAACATTTGAAATAGCTTAAAAAACGCCTCTGACGTATAAAACATTCCTGTTCTTTTGCCTTTCGCTCAGCCATAAGATGATGAAGGTAGGTACACGTAGGTGATGAAGGTAAGTACATGTAGGTATGAGTGCTAAAGGAAGTGCACGTACATGTAATTTTTGCAATAGCTTTAAAAGGACGAATAAAAAAATACCTGTTCCTTCGTCTTACGTTCGGCCGAAGATGTGACCGAGAAGAGCCTCAACTACAGAAGAAATTCACGTAAAAGGAGATTACAATTCATGCACAGAAAACAGTTGTGACAAATAAATGATGTTTAACTGTAAAACATGAATGCTTTCTGACCTATCGTTGTGGATTTGAAAAAATATGTAAAAAATGGGAGGGGGTTATTATTAGCTGTGTGTCTCAAAACTTTTCCAAGGATGTTCATATATCGTGTCGGATGTGGATGCATAACATTGAACAAAATGTATGTAACTACTGTCGAGCCAGATGGAGAGATCGAGTTAGAATTTCAGCACCCCATGCTTCTTGAAAGAGGCGACAAACGGGATCAGGTGGTCAGGCTCACATGTCATCGGTCCCTAATTGCGTAGATCGATCCTCATGATCTTGATCACTGGACTGTCTGTCCCAGATTCGATTATCTACAGATCGCAGCCATATAGCTGGAATATTGCTGAGTGCGGCGTAAAACAAACAAACAAACAAATATAAGCCCCCGGCGACGTCATCCTGTCTCTCTACATGGATTTTCAACAAGAACTGGACTCAGTAGAGATTGAGCCACGCACCCAGCATCGCTGACACAGACATACGACACAAATTTAGCTATACTAAAACAAAAGATGACAAGAAATATACAAACACTGTTCATCTTCTTCAGCTCTGCCTGCAAAAGAGACAAAGGATTTTCAGTAAGTACTTAGACTCAATAAAGATGAAAGTCGGTAGTGACTTTGAATGTCCATACAAATTCACATTTTAATTTTGAATAGGACTAAGTTGTTGACTTTACATAATGCCACGCTCGTCACACCGAAGACCCGGGTTCGATTCCCCACATTTCTCGTATCCCTCGCATTGATATTGCTAGAATATTGCTAAAAGCGGCGTAAAACTAAGCTAACTCACTCACACTGTATGGGCCATTCTGACAACTAATCAAACATTTAACGATTGCTGCTCAGCCCCGCCAAGTTAAACAGCCTGAAACAGATTACGGTTCTACGGTGAAGTGGACTGGCGTTAACGTCACATTCACATCGCACTTACGTAGCGGACCCGTGAAGATCCGGGTTAGAACTGATCGTCAACAACCCATGCTTGTCGTAAGAGGCGACTAACGGGATCGGATGGTCACGCTCGCTGACTTGGTTGACACATGTCATCGCATCCAAATTACGTATATCGATGCTCATGATGTTGATCACTGGATTGTCTGGTCAAGACTCTATTATTTACAGACCGCCGCCATATAGCTGGAATTGTGCTGAGTGCGGCGCAAAACTAAAGTCACTCACTCACTTACGTAGCGACTCCTATGACGTTTATTAGGGAGCGAGTGAATATGGTTTTACGCCGCTTTTAGCAATATTCCATCTCGGCGGGTAACACCAGAAATGGGCTTAACACGTTGTACCCATGTGGGGAATCGAACATGCATTCTATGTGATGAACAAACGCTTTAGCCACTAGGCTACCCCTCCACCCCACCTATATATTGCGCTGGGGCCTTATGCTGACGAGATATCCCCACCGGCCACGTGCTCGTGTTTCCAGTACAAATGGAGAAGCTTACTTTGACGCCTTTGGCTTCGATGCCCCATTTCTTCCTCCCGTTCTGACGTGTAGTCATCATTCTCCCGCCCAGCACTTTTCTCCAAATGATGTAGCCATCTTTTCGCTGTCGATTTCAATATAATGAAGTATCAATTATATTATACATGCATGTATTTTTAAGGCTGTACTCAGTCGAATGTGCAGTGAAAGTTTGGACTGATAGGAACCGGAGAAAGTTGGTTGGCTGGTTTCTTGGTTGTTTAACACCGCAATTAGCAATATTCCAGCACTTACGGCTGCGGTCTGTAAATAATCGAGTAGGGACCAGACAATCCAGTGATCAACAGCATGAGCATCGATCTAAGCAACTGGGATACGATGACATGTGTCAACCAAGTCAGCGAGCCTGACCACCCGATCCCGTTAGTCGCCTCTTACGACAAGCATGGATTGCTGGAGACCAATTCTAACCCGGATCTTATCTGGCCTTAGCATGATGGTTTGCGGAAGGAAGGAGAAACCAGTAGATTTGTGCATTGATAGTTCGACCGATACATATCTCTAATTTCCAAGGGAATAAGGTAGTACATAAGTAGAGTAATCTTTATCTTGCCTCACACATAGATGTCGTTTTCTGAATGGCTTAGCGCTCTCCTATTATTTTCAATGTACCCCGCTTACAATCGAGTAACATTTTCTATGAACCCCGCTGGGAATGCCGAACTCATTTGGTACTTCGTAGTAGTAATTCTTTATCTCAAATAACATTGAATCACGTATGATGTATGGAAATTACCGATGTTTTGCGAATGCAAATCGATGGAAGGGAGATAACTCTAAAATGATTGTCTTATCGTCTGGTACTCCATACTATGATCCGATACCTGTGCTTCAAACAGTTCAAAATTTCCATTGAGGTATTTGGTAAGCTAAATACATTGTTCACTGGTCCCTCGGGGCCCATGGGTTGATGTACCCTCGATGTTTCTTTATGTTCCCCTCGCATAAACAAACATCGAGGGTGCATCAGCCCAGGTCCCCCTCGAGACCAGTGAACAACTTATAATGTTTATAACTAGCACGCTTATTACAAACTGATGGACATATCGAACTAGATTTAGTAGCCACTTGCTTCGTCGAAATGCACAAAACGATCTACCAGAATAACGAGGTAGAATTTATGAACTTTGAGTTCGTGTGTACCGTGGTTTACTGTAGTTATCTTATTGTTACTATGTTACAGATTGAAAATAGTATGCAGCAGAGAGGGTTCGGGTGATCCTTGGACATCATCAGCTTAGGGCTCTTGCCCCCTCTTCACGCAGTCCAGACAACGAATGGTACTTGTCCCAGGAAGCGCTGCCTAGTCGAACCCACCAAGAAATTTCCGGAGAATGTGTAGACTACCCCAACACTGCAGCCTTCTGCATTACCCAGAGCGTCAGAAGGGCTATACTCCCGGTGGAGAACCTGGGCACTCTCCTGATCTGCGCCAAGAGATCAGAAGGTACCAAACCAAGGGCACCGAGAACAATGGGGAGCCTGACGACAGTGTACTTGATGTAAGCGAGACATTTCCAAGGCGAGGTCCGCATATTTAGAATGCTTTTCCAGAATTTTGCCAATCACGTAACTGACAAAAGGACAGAAATTCAATGATATTGATAATTCATTGGCTTTATCAAAAAGGATAAGATCAGGTTTGTTGGCTGGGATTCATCTCAAGTTGTATATAGGTCTGTTCCAAAGAAGTCTATAAGCACGATTTTCCTTGACGCCCTGGACATGTTCAGGGTCGTACCATGGATAGACTTCGGAGTCAAAGCCACAGGCAAGGCGAAGACTGTAGTAGAAACAGCGAGCCATGTCATCATGTCGTATTAGATATGCTGTTTGTGCCAAGGAAGGGCGTCTACTAACGATGTGTGGGCAGTCTCTGTAAATTTCATATTGTTATTTTCTTTAAGAATTACATTTTGGCGATTGCGAGTGGGATGTGACGTCATGAGCAGCAAAATGAAAGCCCTCAGTTTCACATTTAAGACCAGCCGACTTCATCCAGGCGAAGGAGTCGGTGAGATTACTGTTCTGTTCCACACACTGCATGTACACACGGTGCAATGGTTTCTCAGAAAGCGTCGCCACAAATGACCAGCTCTGGGCAGCCTTGGAGAATAACTTCACCTGGTTTACTCCCATCGTTATACCGTCAAGAAGTACATCGCCATCAACAAAATCAACCTCAAAATTTCAGATCCTGAAACCTTGGCACGTTTAGCTGTGAACTTCCTTGTTTTCATTATGAGTCTTGACATGCATCACCAGAGGATCGTCCGATAAATAAATATGTACAATAGTACATACTAAAATTCTATCATGAAGAGCAGGCACATTAATCAAACCCCGACCTCCAGAATTGATTGGCATATATAAACGATTAAGAGAGGACCGAGGGTGGTGGGCTCTGTTATCGGACATGATCCTTCTGGTCAGGTGGTCAAGACTTTGGATATCTTGTTTTGTCTAATCAACTACTCCAAAGGAGTAGGAAAGGACTGGCACAGCAAAAGTATTGGTAGGTTTGACCTTGTTTCGAGCATTTAGCAATGAGCTCCAGATTTTCTCTGAGCGAGATTTATACTCTGCCCGAAGTTTGTTTTGAATTTTGGCAAGGAGCTCGATATCATCCATGTAAATGAAAGTACATGGATGTAAAGCAAAGGAGTTAATTCCCCCTGGAATATTCCCCTTCTGATTGGAATAGATTCCGAAGTCTGCACCTGCCCTTGTGAGAACATCTCAAGTTGGGTTGACCAGCAACTCATTACAGACCTGAGTAAATCAGGCAGTCGCTCAGAAAGGTCAATACAATCAAGAGACTTCAGGATCCATCCGTGAGGGACAGTCATATGCTTCTTTGTAGTCAATCCAGCGCATGGAGAGGTAACGGTAATATGTTTTATCCTCTTCCAAAGTCTTTTTTTGTACAAGAAGTTGATCCTTGCATCCCCAACATCCCTTCCTTTGCTCCCTTCTGTTCTCTGTAAATTATTTCATTAGAAGAGCAGTAAGATGACATGAGAATTGTCAAACACTCTGTTTATATTATATATTGTGTATTCAAGTTTTGGGATCAGTCAAGTATCCTTTTTACACATTATTTTATTACTATGATTGAAAATGAAAAGAACTGTTGTTAAATTTGATTATGTCCAATCAATCATTTCCCATTCCTGCTGAAGTTCGTAAAAAGAAATCTGGGGTTAGGTAATTCTGCTCAAAACAATTTGTTCATTGATGACTGTAGTAAGAAATAATGAAGCGAAAATACAATGTTAAAGTGCTGCGTATTTGTAAAGGAAACAAACTTTGTTGATTTTCAAAGATGAGTTGCCTGAACTACCCATCACCAGTTGTGTGTTATGCTTTTTTATATTCATAAATTCTAAATCAAATTATATTTAGATCTAAAAATACAAACACGTATACGTATTCTTCGAGTACAAGTGCAAGTGTAAGTACAGTAACTGTTCATTTTACGTAATATAAACTTTCTTTTAATTAAAAAACTATGTTTTTTACCTCGGAATGAAACTTCAAGGAGAGATTGGAAACAGAAAGAGTAATACAACCATGATAAACGCCAATAATAATAATAATAACAATATACCTTTTTTGTTCAGCGTTATCAGCTTGGTCAACGTCCTCTGTTGTCGGTCGTTTATCTTTTCAGTCATACTGGATCCTACAAAATATAATTGACAAAACTGTGATTATGAGCATGTGTTCACGAATAACCACAAAAAATAATAGCAGGTGCTCGCTTAAATGCAGTGTACCTTTCTCAAGCGCGGTAGCAGGCACACAAACATGCAAAGGAAAGCTACCTGTCCGCCATAAAAACATACGATCCTAAAAAGTCAAACACCACAATACGTTATTGTTTATTACAGGATGGTTCACATCAAAATTATTGGGGTAGCGGGGTAAAACTAAACTCACTCACTCACATCAAAATTAAAATAACAATGTCACGCAAGATACGTTACCAAAGTGAGTGATAAGTTTTACACCGATTTTAGCAATATTCTAGCAATATCACGGCTGGGGACACCGGAAATGGGCTTCCACATAGTACCCATGTTGGGAATCGAACCCGGGTCTTCGGCGTGACGAGCGAACGCTTTAACCACTTGGCAACCCCACCGCCCCACGTTGCCAGAAATTTCAGTACAATATATATCTGTCATAAAATGTGAACGATTTGAGTGATAGTTACAAACTGAATTGAGATAATTGTGAACGAAACTGCTGCCAGTCAAAGAATGATGTTACATTATATAGTTGTGCGGAAACAGTTATAAATTGGTGCATATGTTTCAATTCCACATCATACTTAATTCAGTATACTACCTTCAGTATACTACCTCCCATGGTCCCGATCCACAAAGCGTTCGTAACCTGTCGTATTTCTAAAGTTTTTTCAAAGGCTTACGAATGTCGTATGGCGACATGTACCAACTCTTTGTAGATTGGGACCCTGGACCTAGATTTTCGAAGCTCTCTTAGTGCTAAGATAGTTTTAAGTGCAATACATTAACATTATAGCTTACGACTATCTTAGCGCTAAGAGAGCTTCGAAAATGTGGGCCCTGGACCTAGATTTCCGAGGCACTCTTAGCGCTACTTAAGATAGTCGTAACTCTATAGTTTATAATAAATTAGGCTTACGAATACCGTAGTGCTACGAATGTGTTGTGGATCAGATCCCTGACCAGTAACATTCCTTGACCATACAAGCCAGTGATTGACACCATGAGCATCGATCTACGTCATTGGCAGAGAAGAACATGTATCGATCAAGTCAGCAAGCCTGACCACCCGATCCTGTTAGTTGCTGGAGGTCAATGTAAAACAGGAACTTCACATGAGTGAGTGAGTTTGATTTTACGCCGCTTTTGGCAATATTCCAGCAATTTCACGGCGGGGACACCAGACATTGGCTTCACATATCGTGCCCATCTGGGGAATCAAACACGGGTCTTCGGCGTGACGAGCGAACGCCTTAACCACTAGGCTAACCCACCGCCTATTATTTTCCTTTTAGAACACAGTTGTTTTACAAATAGAGCTTATTTTGTTTCGAACTGAATTATCTTAATGATTGCCAGGTTGTCATCAAACTGAGCATGAGGCGTTACATCCTTAAAAGATTGTACAGGCAGAATGGCTGCCTGCACTGGTCATAAAAAGGATCGAAAATGGATTGGTCAGCACGGCGTCTGTATTCTGAGTCTGAGTGCGGTATGTAAAAACTGTGGCACTGTGTCTCAGCTGCTAATAGTATCTAATTTTCCGGGCTGGTATATGCAGCCAAACGCACACACGCACACACTTCACATCTTCGTTATTTCATTCATAATTCAGTACTTGTTATTATATCAACCAGCCCACTTGGGTTTCGCGAAAAGGTAACGTATCCGTCACGCACACACACATACACACACACGCACGCACGCACGCACACACACACACAGAGGCCCACACACTTATCACTTGGTTACTTGGTAATGGTATTGAACCAGCATTTATCCGGACGAGTTTTTGCAACGAAAGCCACACCTGTCACAAACGTCCAGCGAGCCTGACCACCCGATCCCGTTAGTCGCCCCTTACGACAAGCATGGGTTACTGAAGATCAATATTCTAACCCTGACCTTCACGGGTCTACAACGCCACGTCACAACAGACCATGTCACATACATGTATGTTCTTAACCACATGCTCACGGTACAAAACACCAGTCACAAATGGCAATACCCTATGCTTATGTTTTCATATCACCTGTACCGTTATCCTACCTGTTTCAACACGTGACACCACGTCCAACAGCAGGAGAGTCAGACAAACCAACCTGATCATTTCAACCTGCAAAAGTAGACCTTCACAGTGAGTTCATCATATTCCAGATGTCGATGTTAAACATTGTTAGAAATACAGTAGATATTACGATATAAATGATCGTGCTCATCTTCCTTTTCGGGTAAAATGTAAGAATAATTCATTTTATACATTATATCGTGTAACACACAAAGCCTTTTAGAAAGGGTTCAGTGAGTGAGTATATTTTTACGCCGCTTTTAGCAATATTCCAGCAATATCATGGCGGGAGACACCAGAAATGGGCTTCACACATTGTGTCCAGGGAACCGAACTCGGGTCTTTGGCGTGACGAGCGTACGCCTAAACCACAAGACTACCCCCCGCCCGCAAAGAGTTCAGAAGCAACGTATTATGTTATATTTGGGATTGCACTTTTCAGATAACCACAGATTGCACCCACAGGGTGAGACATCGCCAGTACGAAAAGTCAGCGATCCAATCAGCCACCGCGGAAGTCTGACAACTGGTAGTCTGGATCAAGTCCATTGTGAACAATTGTAATTTGGCACGGCTCCAATGGCCGAAACTATGAAAACATAATGCCTCTAGAAGAAGCCAAATTCAACATATGTTTACACTTTCTCGGTGTAAAGAACAGATTCTAGTTCGTTCTTATTGAGTCTCATCTGGGATTCAAACTCGCACTCTCACACTGAGGCAACCATGTAATCCCAAATACACGTTACTTATACTTTAATTATTATTATAGGATATTTATATAGCGCACATATCCACGTAACTAGTACATGTTCAAGGCGTCGGAGTGTTCCCTCGATCATTGGATGTCAATCTCAACGGCACATCGCATTATCAATCTCAACTCCCCGGGGATCATACAACTCTTGCTGCCACAAGGCGCACCGAGTTATTGCGGCTGCCTCATCTTAACGAAGTACCCATTCACAGCTGGGTGTACTGGGACACATAGTTACAGTACTTTGTCCAAGTTTTATGCACGTTGCTGTATCTGCAACTAGGTGTTTGCACGTATTCATGTGGCCACCATCTGTTCATATACCAACGGATTCGTGGGTTCTTTTAAGTGCACAGGGTGGTGTACTGTATACTAGGGATTTTGACAACACTGAAAAGTCTGGACACAAAGTTGACTCCAAGGTTTTACACCCGATCACAGGTGGGCTCATTTAGTGATGAGTTGTGGCTATTTCGCAAACATGAAAAACATAAAATTTCATTGCAGAAACCGAAATCAGTAATGTAATACGCATTAATTATTAAATGAAGCTTGTGCAATGTATATATCTATGAAAAGGTGAAAGATGCAACGTCGGATAATCCCACACCCTCTGCGAATGCAGGAACCACAAGGTTATCCCATTGTCGCTTCAAAAGTAAACAAGAAGTTCAAAACGTATAAAAAAAATAAAAATTAAAATGACCTTTTACTTGTGATATATATGCGTATATAAACATTACATACTGTGCTGTGAGATTAGGGATGCTCTCCAAAGTTCCTGTGATCAGTGGTGATTTATCCCAAGAACGACAAGAGAATATGAAGAGGACGGCAATTATGTTAATGCAATTAACACCTTAATGCTCGAAGGCCGAAGTCTTAAAAAGTAGGAATATGTGCTCACCTTGGAAGTGTCAACCAATCCCAACACCAGACGGTTGTATGAAATGATTGCTTTCCATGACCCCAATTTATAGACAGTGTCCCCGTGTCTCGTGACCAGTGTACTCCATAGCACAAAGACCAAACACTGACGAGATTTGCCAAAGCAGACATTTTGAGTATAAGAAATTGAAGTAGGAAACAATAATTTTGTTCTCACGCACGTCACTGTTTCCTTAAGGAACGTATATTTTGTAAAGACACTCGGGACACAATAGGCGAATGACGTAATTACAATTAATATTGTTTAATGTAGATTTTATGGTACACCTAATGTCTAAAGTACAATCAGTGAAATGTTTTCTGTCACGATCCATATGGCTTTATCAAACGTGTAGACTACACACAGTGCGTGAGTGAGTGAGTGAAAGGCGTTCAACACACTTGACCACAATATTTCCCAATATAACGGTTAGCTGTACAAAGTCTAAGATGAGATTCAGTCAATTCAGAGGTACTTCCCCTATCCCGAATTCATTCATCGCTAAGTCACCAACCACTGAATTCTTCATCGCTTTATCCCCTACTGCCCCATTCATCGCTGTGTGTCCTTCATCAATTTCTCCTCTACTCACTGAATCCTTCATCACTTTGTCTCCTACCTCTACAACCTTTTATCACTTTTGTCTCCTACCTCTGCATCCTCCATGACTTTGTCCCCATCTCTGCATCCTTCATCACTTTGTCTCCTACCTCTACATCCTCCATGACTTTGTCCCCTATCTCTGAATCCTTCATCACTTTGTCTCCTACCTCTACATCATTCATCACTTTTTTCTTCTACCCCCCGAATCCTTCATCACTTTCTCCTCAACTCCATCCATCCTTCATCACTTTGTCTCCTACCTCTGCATCCTCCATCACTTTGTCCCCTATCTCTGCATCCTCCATCACTTTTTTCTTCTACCCCCGAATCCTTCATCACTTTCTCCTCAACTCCATCCATCCTTCATCACTTTGTCTCATACCTCTACATCCTCCATCACTTTATCATCTACTCCATACATTCTTCATCACTTTGTCCCCTACATCTGCATCCTTCATCACTTTGTCTCATACCCCTGAATCACATTTTTTCTCATATCCCCTGAAATCATCATCACATTCTTCTCTACCCCTCCATGCTTCATTACTTTATGCTCTACCTCTGCATCCTTCATCACTTTTTTCTCCTATCCCCCTGAAATCATCACATTCTTCTCTACTCCCTGAATCCTGCATCATTTTGACCCCAACCAATTGAATTCTTCATGATTCAATTCTCCTGCTTCTTTAATCTTTCCCGTTATCCCTCTGCATCCTTCATCACAATGCCCCAACTAGCTAAATCCTTCATCATTCTATTCTCCAACTTGGTGAAACTGGAGGATGAGGAATATTTTAATGGATATACAACTTCTTATTCTGTATAGGCGACTTCTAGAATGCCAATCAAAAACTGGTGAATCTGTCTTACCATTAATAAAGGAAAAGACATCATGTGACAGGCTCCATGTCTGACTGCAGTAAAGACTGACAGGCCCTACCATCTTGATGAACACGTGTTATGTAAAGTACTAAAAATACATTGCAAAAGTTTTCAACAAATGACGTGATTTCAACTTTGTAAAGTTATTAACGTCATGTATTTTGCACCTACCTCGTCGGCCATTTCCGACGCCTGTCATATTTCGTGAAAAGAATTCATTACAAAATAGGTTGCATAAGGACATTACAATCATTTCTCTGGTCCTGTCTTTAACCTTACTATGCCGCCATCATTCACCTCCCACCCGCCTCCACGTTGTCGCGGCAGGAATATAAATATACCTTTCCTGTCTCGCGCGCTAAAACATAACAATATTTCACGGAACAGAACCCATTTCAAGTCTCTAGTTTGCTTCCTAAGACTTTTACGCAAACCTTGGCGGATATTGAAAGCGCCGATACGGCTTCTTCCAGCAAATGGCGCGATACAAGGAGCGTATAAAGACGTTGCGTTTCCCCCAGAGGACGTCAAAGCAAGGTGATTGTTAATTAAGGAAGCTCTCTGCACTGTCAGGTAAGTCGATAGTTTGACGTTCGTTTATTTAACTAGGTAGACTTTAACGTATAAGCCTCGTAACAAGCTGTGTTTTGTCAACTGTTATGTTGGTCAAAATGTTATATAAGTGTTTTATATGAATTAAAGGTGAAAAGGTTTTTGATTTTTTTGCATTCGTAATTTTAAAACATATTATGCTATGTAAAAAGGCCCCTCTCTAAATTCGCTGTGCGGAATTTAGTCCCGGTTTTGTCATGATAATGTTTCATGTTTAATATTACCATATCAGTGTTAATGGGTTTTGCGAGAGTTGTTGACGTCTAATTTATAAGACCTACATTATGTCGGAGTGTCCTCCCAAATCGACCCGTCACCAATCCAATCTGATATAATTGAAACACGTTTTATAAAAGTGTCAAGAACAAAATCCGTTTTACCCAAACTAGGTAGTCAATTAATTGAATGCATGAAAGCATCATAAAATGTTGTCTGGACGAATACAGTCGGCCAATTATGTGCTATCTCAAAGTTTAGTTGCAGCTTGTTTGATATTTCCTAGGAACACGAAGTTATATTATTCAAATAATTCTTTTGTCGAAGATCTAGTTCAATCCCTTTAGCTCCTGATTTGTTAGCAGATTCTAGGAATTTGTATTGAGACGGGGTGATTTTCAGCAAAAGAAATATTTTAAATCACAACATAAATTATTAATTTAAAAAACCGTTACAACATGTATTGTGTACATACCCGGTGTGTTCAAAATCAAGCTCGGGAAACTTGGGATTTAAAAGTCCTGAAGTTAACATTTAAAATCTGCGTTCGGTTTTAATTTCAATTTAGCGAGTTTAGCTCATTGAACACACACTTTGTATATCACGTATATATTCTACTCCATGTATATACCTGTAGCGATTTTAAAGTTTTAGAGTAAGAGTTTAAAAATTGTTATTGACCTCATTCTGTAATTATTGAGGGGAAGGTATTTAGAATTACAGTGAAGCCTCGTTAATACGGACGGTTGCGTTTCTCAGTAAATTCGTCCGGATTGCGAATAGTCCGGACTACTGAATCAAGACCCAAGTTGCTTCCCTGTATGTATATTTAACCCATTTTGTGTAACATATATTCAAATTAATCATTGTACACACTGTAGCACTGAGCAACATTCTCCTGTCTAATTAAAACGGTCACATTCATATCATCTTTAAAATGTACAAAATAGGCACAGAAACAAAATAAATACACTTACCCGTATTTCATAATTGGAGGATGTATTTTATTTATATCAATCTAAATTTTAAACAAATGTTTGAGAAACGATATCGTCAACGTTACCTGGGTGACCAAACTGTTTGACCATACTCTGACGTCTTGGAGACCCAGGTGACCATAATCAAAATTGTTTCTCGTCTTTGTGGTTTGGTAGACTATCAGCTTCAAGAGAGGTGAGGTGAAGTGGGGTTCAACGTCGTACTTAAGAATATTTCGCTCATATGACGACGTGCATGCGTGTGTATAGTATGTGTGGCTGCTTGTACTAGCCCAGCCTTAAGCTGGTTAAGCATGAATACCCCACTCAGACACATCATACTGACTCCGAGCTGACCAGTCCTTCTTCTACCTATTAATGCCGAGCACCAGGCAGGGACCAACAAGTACCTTATTATACTGTCTTTTGGTATGACGTGGCCGGGGATCGAACCCGCGACCTTCCGATCTCCGGGCGGACGCTCTAACCACTACACCGCGGAGGCGACCATGTTTACCCGAAGTCATGGCGATGCATACTATAGAAATGGTCCCTATCGTAATGAAACCTAATGCATCAAAATGTGTGAACCTCATTCTTCTTCTTGAGACTAGGACATATTTTAAGCACCTTAAAACGTCTCTCGCTCGGAACGTAGGCAGAATAAATTAAGGAATCAACCAGTCAAATGAGTCAGTTGTTGTCACAATGCCTAGAAAATGCTGACGACGCCAGACAAACAAATACGTTATATCTCCCTGATAGATGAAGAAATGAACTTGTCCCCACTGAGTGAGTGAGTGATTTTAGTTTTACGCCGCTTTTAGCAATATTCCAGCAATATCACGGCGATGAACACTAGAAATGGGATCCACACATTGTACCCATTTGGAGAATCGGCGTTACGAAGAACGCTTTAACCACTTGGCTACCTCACCGTCCCTACTGACACTGGAATTGTCAATCAAGATCTGAGGCTTGAGCCTGTTCTTCAAATGTGTGGGGACGACGTGACGATCTTGGGCCGGGGTCGTGACACGTAGTTGTCCTGGGCGTGGTCGATCACGTGTTGTGCCAGTTTGTCGAGGCGCTGTAATAAAATGACGTTTGTTGAATTATGACGATTAAACCTTCTCGCCTCCTGACGTTTACCAGCTGTTTTGCTGTATAAAATTAAGGCGTGATTTTGGAACACAGTTAAATGACCTGTCAATGTGTCGTGGAACCGCATTTTCACGCGATCTGCACGTGATAAGTTATTTTCAGCAAATGCGGGTCACGTGATCACACAGCTAGCACGTGCTTTTCGGTGTGCATCACGTTTATCTGTCGCTATCAGATGAGTTCAAGCACAGTTTTGTGTTCATTTTGCATATTCCGTGATCAATCATACCAGGGTGGTGCGTTTCTAGTGGATTTCAGTATATACAGAGACTCAGGCACGTGTAATTATCACCTAAATTCACTGTGCAGCTCCGTTAATTTGTGCACTGGTATCAGCTAATCACGGGTTAAAACCGCTCGCACCCGTCTTGTCGGACCCGAGCCGAGCCTGTGGCACCCGTCTTGCCTCACGCCTACCTGGAAGCTTTTAGGCTTTCCACAACTTAAAGCTTCCCTGCTGTGGTATAGCTGTAACACCTGCCAAGGAGGGGTTATGCCCAAGAATGAGTGAGTTTAGTCTTAAGCCGCTTTTAGCAATATTCCAGCAATATCACGACGAGGGACACGAGAAATGGGCTTCACAAATTGTACCCATGTCGGGAATCGAACCCGGGCCTTCGGCATGACGAGCGAACTCTTTCACCACTTGGCTACCCCACCACTCCTTACGCCCAAGACATTCAATAATCGTGTTTCGTCCCTAAAGTTATTGAGTGAGTGAGTATGGTTTCATGCCGCTTTTAGCAATATTTCAGCAATATCACGGCGGAGGACACCAGAAATGGGCTTCACATTGTACTCGGGAATGTGGGGAATCGAACCCAGGTCTTCGGCGTGACGAGTGAACACTTTAACCGCTAGGCTACCCCACCGCGCCTTCAGAGTTACGGACGTTATCGGCGAACCCTTTAACCACTAGGCTACAAGCTACAAACTCATTATAAGTGCTATCGCGTTGGGGAATTTATCACGTCATATTTTGACATTATGTTTCACAATTTATGATAAGGGATCCATATAACTAGAAACATCACGCTTCATATATGTCAGTGTGTGACCTTCGCGAGCGCGTTCTAGACATTTAATCAGCTTTCGCGTTGTACTGGGGCTCTTGACGAGCTGGAAACCGTATAACGCCGAAGCTGATGTATTAGTATTGCACACTGGTGGTGTTTTATTACCATGCCATCTCTTTTGTGTTCCTCGCACTCAAAAACTAGGTTTGCAGGCTAGTAATGCTTCACGACACGACTGGTACCTCGTGAGTTATTTGCTCTTAGTCATTAGGGGAATAGTGTTTCTCGTGGCAATGAATGATGACATTCTGTGAGAAGACAGTTTGAATGGTTGTATGTTGTCTTCCCGCAGGCGTTTCCAATATTTGTGAAACTAGGGTTTTTAAACTATATGCGCATGTTGTCTGGACAATAAGCGATTCTTTCACTTGATTGCCTTCCCTTCCCGTCAAATCGTGTTTTTAAAACAAATTGCCAATCTCCAATTACACATAATCTTGGAACGTTGTCAACAATGAAAATAATTCTTAGAATAATACTTGTAGCACTTGATTGCCTTTTGTCCTGAAACCTGTTTCTGAATCCACAGATTTAGCTCAAATACTTTCAATAGTTTTGTATTGTCTTTGTTTCTAGTGGTCCCTCAAGCGCTATCCGCATGAGTTATCTCTCCTAAGCGCGGGGGAAAACTCATAATTGTCCAAAGATAGTTCCAGTGTTCGGCATCTTATTTGATTATCATGGGTAAATCTAAGGGCACTAAATACATTTCGTCTTCCCACTAGGATCCAAAATTGCTCAGCAAGCAGGAAATCATTGGAGTGTGTTGGCACTCTTTGGCCCTGCGTCGCAAGACTTTTGAGAAGTGGCTGATGAAGATGGTCGTTACAAAAGCTCAAAACCAAAAAAAGATGGCGAAGAAAAGCTGCGACCCAGGATTCCAGTCAAGGTGTCTGAAAACGCAAATATTATCACAGAAAATCAGTCGGACATGGAGTAGCTAGGCGTCCCGCTTCCCCTTCTGTTCTATCTGATCCTGGCACGCCCATCCGTAGACCCCTTTGGCTGTTAAACCCAGGCCTTGTTGGCGGTCCTTAACCCTTTTTGAGATTAGGTAAAGTTATAGCGGATCGAATTTCAGCGCCATCTTGTGGGGGACATCTCAAAAGAGACAACGGGATCGGAGAGAGATTTTCTGGAACGGGCTGCACGGACAGTTTTCATAATCGAAGGCAGTCAACGTGTTGGCAGGAGAGAAGCTGCACGGGATGCAAGGGCAGCTTGGACCGCACGTGCGAGATACCACAAGCGTTAAATCCTTAGATACGACTCTTAATAGACATCAAAGTGATCACTGTCTGTAAAACAACGGAATTCAAAAGTAAATAATCGAGTCTGGACCAAACAGTCCAGTGATCAACAGCCTGAGCATCGATCTGCGCAATTGGGAAGTAAGTAAAGAAAGAAAGAAATAATAAATAAATAAATAGAAAAATAGATAATGAGAAAATAAATAAAGAAATACGGAAAGAAATACCAATGCATATTTGAATTTACGAACATTAAGTGGCAATAAAACCTATTCTTTTCAATATTGACGTTTTCTTGTTAAAATTCAATAGATATTACTCTTGCGTGTTTGGACCCGTGAAGGTCCGGGTTAGAATGAGCCTTCAGTAACCCATGCTTGTCGTAAGAGGCGACTAACGGGATCGGGTGGTCAGGTTCGCTGACTTGGTTGACACATGTCATCGGTTCCCAGTTGCGCAGATTGATCCTCATGCTGTTGATCACTGGATTGTCTGGTCCAGACTCGATTATTTACAGACCACCGCCATATAGCTGGAATATTGCTGAGTGCGGCGTAAAACTAAACCCACTCACTCACTCACTCTTGCGTGTTTGATAAATGTTACGGTTAAGATCCGGTTAACAACTGACCTTAACAACCCATGCTTGTTGTAAGAGGCAACCAACGGGATCGGGTGGTAAGGCTCACATCCCATCCTGTGCCAATTGCGTAGATCGATGCCTATGATGTTAATCACTGGGTTTTCTGGGCCAGACTCGAATACCTACAGACCTGCAGTCAACAGCTGGAATATTGCCGAGTGTGGCGTTGAACAACAGACAAACGTAGTCATATGGAACATTTTACAGACGCTTCGCACGATCCTGATTTGACATCCATGGAATCAAGTACGGAATCCTCAGACAATTCCATGTTACGGTCAAGGCTGTACTAGATGTCCTCTTGGACCCGTGCGTAGGTCACGGCACTTCGCCGTGAAGCCCATTTCTGGTGTACTCCGCCGTGATATAGCTGGAATATTGCTGAGTGCGACGTTAAACAACAAACCATCAAAGTTCCATCAGGCTCGAACATCGGTTTCCTCATCGCAACTTCAACAGAGTAATCCCTATTGTCAGGGCTCTCTGGAACCAGGCCAGAGAATAGGTTCTGGGGACTGGCTCCCCGACAGGACAGCAGAAACAAGCCCAAGTCTCATTCCAAGGGAAACGGGAAAGGATTTCAGGTCAAGAAGGATGGGACGCCGGGGCCTAAATCGACTTGACTCATCTCGATCTTCCCAGACATTAGTAGGACGCACCTGGACCTTGGCTATAGACAATCATCATGCTTGGGAGATGCCCCTAGTTCCTACAAATGTGTTTCAGGGTCCAGTGGGCATTTATCAGGTTTTGATCATAAGGACGGATCAGTGGATCGTCAAAGTTATCAAAGGAAGGATACCGCCTGCAATACGCAGACAGGTACCGTGGATGACACACCCAGCAGGATATCGGCATCAGTTCTGGGAACCAAAGTTTCCAGCGGCGATGACAGCCATAGCATAACAAATTCTTTGATCTGAGAACTGTCATCGAATTGGATACTTTGAAGCCCAGACCAGGGTGTTTCTCTCAAGTCTTGCAGGTCCCTAAGACTGACTGACTGAGTTTAGTTTTACGCCGCCTTTAGCACTATTCCAGCAACATCACGGCGGGGGACACCAGAAATAGGTTTCACACATTGTGCCCATGTGGGGATTCGAACCCGGGTGTTCGGCGTGACGAGCCAACGCTTTAACCACTAGGCTACCCCACCGCCCCGCAGGTCCCTAAGAAGGATTCAACAGACATCATGATGATTATCCTCAACCGGGTATACCTTAGACGACCTCAAAAGTTTCAAATGGAGTATATATGGAACCTCAGCAAAACCCCGATATCTATAGAGGACTCTATTATCCATAGACCTGCAGGATGCGTATATAAACGTTCTAGACTCTCAGAGATACCTACACCCCGTGACTATCCACCATCATCACAACTCCAATCCAAGCATACTTACGTATGAAACGTATATAGCTTCATGGGTACCTGGACGATTTCCTGTGTCAAAACGCCGACGCGGATGCCTGTTTAGAAGACTCTTAATATCTGCTGGATTTCTTTAGGGAATTTTGGGTTCCCTGTTCATCCGGAAGACATCAGTGCTTCACCCTAGAAAGTGCAGAAATATATTGGAGCAATACTCGAAAACTTTCGAAGCCTAGTTTATCCTCCAGAGGATTGTTATCGACAGGTCAGATCCAATTTTATGACGTTTCAGCGATCTCCTCATACTCAATGTAGATGGATGCGGGGCGGTGGGGTAGCCTAATGGTTAAAGCGTTGGCTCGTCACGCCGAAGACCCGGGTTCGAATCCCCACATGGGTACAATGTGTGAAGCCCATTTCTGGTGTCCCCCGCCGTGATGTTGCTGGAATATTGCTAAAAGCGGCGTAAAACCAAACTCAGTCAGTCAGTCAGTCAGTCAGTAGATGGATGCCGTTACTGGGAGCTCTCACTTCTTTTACATCCAGAGGCCATCTGCATTTTATATATATTAAAGATTGGACCAACTAAAATCAACTAACTTGTGTACAACCTGATGAAATTAGCGCTATGTGTACATCATAATTCAAAATCTCACTAAAAATATGCTATACTACCATGCCCCAAAAAGTAATGTTATGTAGATTTATACATATTACTGTATATCTACCTTTGTAATACATAAAAATGGGAAATAAAAGACTTAAATTATAAAAAACAACAACTTGGGTACAGCTAGACTCGACATAGTGCCTACGGATCTGGGTCGCGATCCATAAAGCTTTCTATAGTTTATCATAGGCTTACGAATGTCGTAGCGCTAGGAACGTTTTGTGGATCGGGAACCTAGTGTTAAAGGACCTCGATGGTGCAATATTCCTCACAACGTCATCCATGGGACTCCAACCAGGATGCCAGATGGCCACCTCTTCACAGACGCTGCACTCACAGGACAGGGTGCTCATCTCAAAGACAAGATGGCGCCAGGTCTCTGGATGTAAGCTCCTCCAGTCCACATCAATATTCTAGAGATGAGGCCAGTTCTCTTAGTAGTTATCCACCATGGCGTCATTAGAAATATCGTCAACCAGACGTCAAAGTCAACCAATATATTAAATACAGCAGGAAGAGACGCTCTCAAGTGTTGTCAGAACAACCAAACGCATTTCCATTTGTCTTATCAGTTAACATTTTTTTTTATGGGTGGGTGAGTTGGATTGTACGTCGCTTTTAGCATTATTCCAGCAATATCACGACGGGAGAGACCAGAAATGGGCTTCACATATTGTACCCATGTGGGGAATCGAACCCGTGCCTTCGGCGTGACGACCGAACGCTTTATCCACTAGGTTACCCTACCGCCCCTTTTATTTGTGAGTTTTATGGTTGTCCTTCTAACCTAGTTTGGGGGTACCCTGGGCCCACAAGCCTATTTTGGATTTAGCAATCAAGTGTTAGAGGGACGTATTCGTAAGAATTTAGGAACACTATCAACAATTATAATAGTTATCAGATGACTACCTCTAACACTTGAGTGAGTCCGTAAGTCTGGTTTTACGCCGCTTTCAGCAATATTCCAACAATATCACGGCTGGTGACACCAGAAATTGGTTTCACACACTGTACCAATGTGGGGAATCGAATCCGTGTCTTCAGCGTGAATTAAGCGAAAAATGAGGATTCAGAAAGTTTCAGGTAAAAGGCAATCAAATGTTAGATGTCATATTCTAAAAATTAGTATAATTGTGATAACGTTTCAAAATTATGTGTAAATGGATATTGGCAATTTTTAATAATAAACTATTTAAAGGGTCAGTCTTCTAGAAAGCCGGAATTCCCGTGCAGAGTTGTGTCCCTTACGCGCGCCAGGACCCAGGGATTGCAGGCTTGAATTTCAGATTCGCCTGATTTTCTTTCTGGGATTTTCAACAACGCCATACCCCTGCTCATGAATTCATCAACACACACACACAGACACCACCCCGAGATCTGCCATGCTGTAACATACCGGGTTTGTTTATTAACTATCTCACCTACTCACCCTTACATTTACCAACATTCAAGCAATATCATCTCAGGGTACACCGGGAAAGAACAAAACTTATTGTACCCTATTGATTGCTGATATTCAATCTCGTTTCAGCTATGGACATCGCTATCGCCGTGTCCTTAGCTCTGGCTCTTTGTCTCGTGTGCGGGGTGTGCCCAGTCAATGCCTATTATGAACACACCTGCTTCCTTGATGACCGGCAGCCTTCACCCGGCGGTTTGTGTGGCCCACGAGCATCAGACATGGTGGACATGGTGTGTCGAGGTTCTTACGGGCGCAAGAGGAGTGTACGCTTCCTGAGTAAGTAGTGTACCACAGTGATGGAGTGAGTGAGTTCAGTTTTAAGCTACTTTTAGCAATAATATCGCCATACATATCACGGTTTCACGTATTGTACCCTTGTGGAGAATCGAACCCGACACTTCGGCGAGAGAGCGAACGCTTGGCCATTGACCACTAGGCTACCCACCGCCCCACCAGAGATCAGAGTGAGTGAGTTTAGTTTTACGCCGCACTCAGCAATATTCTATCTATATGGTGGCGGTCTGTGGGTAATCAGATCTGGACCAGACAATCCAGTGGTCAACAGCAAGAGCATCGATCTATGCAATTGAGATACGATGACATGTGTCAACCAAGTCAACGAGCCTGGTCACCCGATCCTGTTAGTCGCCTCTTACAAGCATGGGTTGCTGAAGATCAATTCTAACCCGGATCTTCACGGGTATCCAGAGATCAGAATAAGCTGTGGCTACTTTCCCCTCATAGTTTCATCGTGTATCGTCAGATGCTGTGTATGTCGCATCCAGCCTGATTGTAACTGATCCCCAACAGCTGTTGCTCAGCGTTACAGGCAATGAACGGGATCGGGTGGTCACCCTCACTGACTTGGTTGCCACGTCATCATATCCCAATTGCGATGCTCGATGCTCATGCTGTCACTCACTGGATTGTCTGTTCCAGACTCGATTATTTACAGACTGCCGTCAAATAGCCCAAAGAAAGACCTGTCATTGATCTTATAGGGTGTAACATCAGTTCAGAAGGGTACCCATAACAACACTTGAGTTTTGATATATTCCCCACCAAAAGTGACACCACCGTGAGTCCGTAACCCGGAAGTACCGTATTAACAAACCCATACTGGACCGTTTAATTTAATCCTGTTATTACACAGTATGGGTAGACATATCCATACTCATTGAAAATCTGGACTTCTACTTATAATCACTTTTCTTAGTCTTATTCAAACAGTATTAATAGTTTTACTCGTTGTAAGGTGTAAGCAAAATATGGTATACTCTGGATTTGACATTCAAATTGAAAACGTTCCAACACACAACCTAGATGCCTGTATGACATGAATTTTTAGCCCTCATCAGAGGCAGTGTATACATTCTTTTGTCAAGCGACCCGTGAAGACCCGGATTAGAATTGGTCTTCAGCAACCAATGTGCTTGTTGTAAGACACATGTCATCGTATCCCATTTGCGTAGATCTATGCTACCGCTATTGATCACTGGATTGTCTGGTCCAGATTCGATTGTTGTCAACCCGCCGCCATATAGCTGGAATATTGCTGAGTGCGGCGTTAAACAACAACCAACCAACTTGGGTCAAGCGTTTAGTTTTAATTGAAGCCCAGTCTCTCATTTGCCCCAGACATGATTTGTGCATGTGTTTCATCCACTACCAAGTGCTGTCCATAATTTTCAGACGATGACCCATCGTTGGAACCGGTCAAGTTCGCCTCCCCAAAGCGAGAGGCCCTTTCTTACCTGGGAAAGCGGACGAGTGAACAAGGCTTTGTCTGCGAGTGCTGCTACAACAGATGCTCATTTACCGAACTGCGTGAATATTGTCACGACTAGGCTATACTAGACGCTATTACAGCAAACAGTATGAGGTGGATATACAGATACCATGGTAACGCTTACAGATATCAGTGGCGATAGACTCATATACTGGAAGATATGTTCACATACCACAGCATTTCCCAACCTTAGGCCATAAGTTCCATTGCTCTAATTGAATCTGTTGGACATAAGTGTTTAAACACAGCTAAGCGTGAATTATTGTAGGGGTCAGTCGTACACTGTTAAGTTCATATTTCCATTGAAAACCGTCTTGTCACTTAGGAAACACTGTGGTATGTCTGGTATAATTACCTTGCCCTTATCGTCACTTACACTGTCAATGACGTCATTAATCCACTGCTTCAAAGTGGTTATGTCTGACGATTTCTGAAGCTTGATCAGTGCCTTCGAACAACATGAGGCCTTGCACCGTTTCTCTTTTTACATAGTGTAATAACACAATACTTGGTTATTATATATGAATAAAATGGATGAATAACATATGCATCAGTAGTTCTTCATTTATACCTGGGAGATACACCCGTGAAGGTCCGGGTAAGAATTGATCTTCAGTAACCCATGCTTGTTGTAAGAGGCGACTAACGGGATCGGGTGGTCAGGCCCACTGGCTTGGTTGACACATGTCATCGGTTCTCAATTGCATAGATCGATGCTCATGCTATTGATCACTTGATTGTCTGGTCCAGACTCGATTACTTACAGACCGCCGCCATATAGCTGGAATATTGCTGAGTGCGGCGTAAAACTAAACTCACTCAGTCACTGGGAGATACGGATCCCTTGGCCAAGGTGCTCCATCTCGTTATGCACACTCTTCCCTTAGCCATTATCTGGATTCGTCCTTGACCATCTTCCATGTTCTATCTGCAGATGCTGATTGATTGATTGATTGATTTGGCAGAGTGAGTGAGTGGTCGGTTGGTCGGTCGCTCGATTTATTGGTACTCATCTGTCAGTCAGCCATAGCTGTGTCGGTGCGTGCGTGCATGTTTGAGCGTGTGCATAATCATGGCAGCGAGTGCGGGTGTATTCATCCATGTACTTCTCTGTACTTTCATCCCTCCTTCGAATGCGAGATTAATGATTAAGTCGCATCGGCAATATTTCAGTATTTCACTGACAGTATCCTAAAGCCACACACAGGCGGACTTCTGTATTTGAAGTATGGAATCACAGAAGGGACATTGTCGCCCTCACAAAAACAAAGAAAAACTGGCAAAATTAACCAAAGAGCGACAACGCGACAATTCGACAAATGGCCAAAATGTCGCGTTGTCGTACTTTTGTTAATTTTGCCACTTTTTGCTCGTTTTTGTGAGAGTGACAATGCAACAATGTCCCTACAGGATTCCATATTGAAGAGTTATAACACTTGGTTGGTTCGTTGTTTAACGCCGCACTCAGCCATATTCCAGCTATATGGCGGCGGTCTGTAAATAATCGAGTCTGAACCAGACAATCCAGTGATCAATCCAATTGGGATACGATTACATGTGTCAACCAAATCAGGAAGCCTGACCACCCGACATCACCCTTGCCTCTTATGACAAGCATTGGATACTGAAGATTAATTCTAACCCGGATCTTCAGGGGTCGGGTGACACAAGAACCTGTTGGTGGCAGAAATACACGTAATACATTACAGGCGATTGTGAAAGGAAGCGTGAGGATTTTACTAGCGCTTTCTTTGATCTCTTTCAGAAACGATTTTCCGATCTTTCTCTCATTCCTCGTCTTTCTTTTTTGTTTGTAAGCTGGTACACGAGAAGGTGTTTGTGCAGAAAAATGCAAATATTTCAGATCAAAACGCAACAACCATAAGTATACACTACCCCGAAAAAACAATAATTTTTTTCAATTGATTTGTTCATTTATTTATGTTTTCAGTATGTGTCTGTGTGTGTGCGCGCGCGTGCGTATGTGTGTTGTTCAACACCATAATCAACAATGTTCCAGCTTCCACACAATCCAGTGATTGACATCATGAGCATCGATCTACTAAATTAAGATGCGTTGACGTACATCAACCATATACCATACGTGTTTCCCAACACTTGATGCATTTAAAGCAAGCCTCAAGACACATTTGTTTGAGAATTAGACTTTTTATCGTGATATATATATATATATATATGTTTGTGTTAGCGCTTTGAGCTTGCTTTGTTGCGTGTAGATTAGCGCATTATAATACTTCTCATTATTATTATTTATATGATCGAGCCGGACCAACTGATCCCGTTAGTCGCTTCTTCCGGCAAACACGGGTGCTGAAGATCAATTCTGAGCCGGAGCTCAACGAGTGTTCACACAATGAGAGAGCATAATTACTCTGACATAACTAAACCGATCCTGTACTTCAAGAACTTGATGTTGGGGTAGTCTTGTGGTTCATCATCCGCTCCTCACGCTTTAATCACGGGTTTGATAACCCATGAGTAAGATGTGTGGAGCGAATTTTTGGTGACCCCTGTCGTCACTCACTCACTCACTCACCAACTCACACACTCACACAATCACCCACCCTGCTGGAACGTCGTGATGTAAGTTTACTTAAGCAAACAGTGAGGGTAGATTAACCCACGTACGCGCGATGCGTCAACCACATTTGCACAAACCTGCGTTATAACGAAGAGGGATCTGGGGTAAATTTGTTCCTGGTCTGATGTTTAACTTCCGTATATGGGGATCGTGAGGGATCACTGCTTCACGTCATGACTGCAACGAATATCTATGTCGAATCTCTCCGTGCGTGACAAACACGACTATACCTGCTCGACATTGCACAGCAAGCGGAGTTCGGATAGCACACGCCGTTTTACGACGGAGAAATCTTGATACATCGGGCAATCATATACAGGTAAGATCTTGAAGCTGTGTGTGCAGAATTGGTGTTATTCACTGAAAATTCATCACTCCCTATTCAGTATTTTACATTTGGAGCGACCCGGTGTACCGGACCTGAACTTCCGCGTGCATAGTATTAATAGATTGTAGGTTATGTTGATTGCCTTATACCTGTATGTGTGTGTGAGAGAGAGAGAGAGAGCGAGTGAGAGAGTGTGTGTGTGAAAGAGAGAATGTGTGAGAGTTAGAGAGACAGTTTGTGATGGAGTGAGAGTTTGTGTGTGAGAGTGTGTGCGAAAGTGTGTGAGAGAGAGTGCACCAGCTAGTGAGTGTGTGTGAGAGACAGCGAGTAAGAGAGAGAGAGAGCGTGTGTGTGAGAGGGAGAGAGAATGTGTGAGAGAGAGTTAGAGACAGTTTGTGTTGGAGTGAGAGAGAGTTTGTGTGTGAGAGAGAATGTTTGAGCGAGTGAGAGAGAGTGTGTGAGAGAGAGTTAAAGAGATACAGTTTGTGACAGAGTGAGAGGGTTTGTATGCGTGAGAGAGTGTGTGTGTGTGCGAAAGTGTGTGTGAGAGAGTGCGCCAGCGAGTGAGTGTGTGTATGAGAGAGAGAAAGTGTGTGAGAGAGAGTATTTGAGAGAGAGAGTGTGTGTGTCTGAGTGAGAGGGGCACGTGGTATAAGACAGTCCAATAAGTATGCTGCAGTTGTGTTATAGTGTCACGACGAATATCGTTTACCGTACATGATCAGCATAGATGACGTCAGATAAACCTTCAAAACATTGCATTGCCTGCTTGTCATGAGTCATTGATATGCACGTCGACAAACCTGAACCATTACATTATTCTAAAAGCAGACATCAAGTATTTTTTATTTTATTTATTATGATAGTTTGAAAGGTGTTTTGACTGTGACTTTCGGCAACATGTACACAATGTTCGGGATCTGAAAGTCCCAAAACACAAGGTGTGTACTTTGTTTTATTCGTCAGTTTCAGTTATATTTGGCTTTAAGGTTCACGGTAGGGAATGGTTTGGTTTCTTGTTTAACACCGCACTCAGCAATATTCCAGCTATATCGCGGTGGTCTGTACATGAGCGAGAACCCGACAATCCAGTGATCATCAGCATAGATCTCGACAGGGAATGGATATTGTTTCACAGCGTCTCCACGGCGATACACGTTTTGGCAGCTCACATCTCCGAGGTCATGCCGCCTCCTTGCAGACCAGGAAGTACCGGTAGTCTGATAGATGGCTAAAAGGACATGAATCTTTCAACTTTGCCAATAGGAATACATTATGGCGTGCTTAATCACAAATGCATTACTGAAATCCAATTTTTGTCGTTTAAGTGATTTAAAATTGATATGTGGCCAGCTTCAAATCTGTTACTGATCTGCATTTGATACACATTCAGCCAAACTCTGTCTATCTACGTCTTATCCACACCCAACCTTCATGTCTATATATGATCTACATTTGATGTACGTTCAGCCCAACTCTGTGCATCTGATCTACATCTTATCCACGTCCACCCTTCGTGTCTATATATGATCTACATTTGATGTACGTTCAGCCCAACTCTGTGTATCTGATCTACGTCTTATCCACACCCAACCTTCATCCACACCCAACCTTCATGTCTATATATGATCTACATTTGATGTACGTTCAGCCCAACTCTGTGTATCGGATCTACATCTTATCCACGTCCATCCTTCATGTCTAAATATGATCTACATTTGATGTACGTTCAGCCCAACTCTGTATATCTGATGTACATCTTATCCACACCCAACCTTCATGTCTATATATGATCTACATTTTATGTACATTCATCCCAACTCTGTGCATCTGATCTACATCTTATCCACGTCCACCCTTCGTGTCTATATATGATCTACATTTGATGTACGTTCAGCCCAACTCTGTATATCTGATGTACATCTTATCCACACCCAACCTTCATGTCTATATATGATCTACATATGATGTACGTTCAGCCCAACTCTGTGTATCTGATCTACATCTTATCCACGTCCACCCTTCGTGTCTATATATGATCTACATTTGATGTACGTTCAGCCCAACTCTGTGTATCGGATCTACATCTTATCCACACCCAACCTTCATGTCTATATATGATCTACATTTGATGTACGTTCAGCCCAACTCTGTATATCTGAACTACGTCTTATCCACACCCAACCTTCATGTCTATATATGATCTACATGTGATACACGTCCAGCCCAACTCTGTGTATCGGATCCACGTCTTATCCACGTCCACCCTTCATGTCTATATATGATCTACATTTGATGTACGTTCAGCCCAACTCTGTATATATGATCTTCACGTCTATATATGATCTACATTTGATGTACGTTCAGCCCAACTCTGTATATATGATCTTCACGTCTATATATGATCTACATTTGATGTACGTTCAGCCCAACTCTGTATATCTGATCTACATCTTATCCACACCCAACCTCTCTGTCTTTATCCATCCTCCAATAGGCAGGTATTTTGGGTGGTTGGGTGGAGAATGAGTGAGTTTTATGCAGCGTTTAGCAATATTCCAGTAATATCACGATGGGGGACGCCAGAAATGAGCTTGTACCCATGTAGGGAATG